GTGGGTAGAGTGTTTACTTTCGTGGATGGTACTGTAGGATGGCTACATTTATCAGATTATTCTTCCTTACATCTCAGAGCAGCAGCTGCCTCTCTGGAACCTTCTCCCATTCCATTCTAGTTTTTTCCCTCGTGGAGCTAAACGGAAAAATTCCACACCTTCTCCCAGCATTCCAAAACAGTCATCACGGCCCCTCTTCTGCAGCCCCCATCTGCCCTCTCACCAGATATGGGATTTTCCCTTTTTCTCTCCAGGATGCTCTGTAGTTAGATGGCATTCTCCACGCACCCCCACACCCGCCCCTGGGTGATGTCATTCTCTACCCCTAATGGGAGAGGAACCTGAGATACTTTGTGACTGGGCCACCCAGCAAGATAGCGTAAGAAATAAGATTTGATTAGAAGCAGGCACTTACCTGCCTTCAGTTAGACATCCCTGCCCTTGGCCTTTCCTACCTGGTTATCGGGATAGGAAAACTGTAACCCTTGGTGATGTGGGGGTACCTGCAGGCAGGACATCTCCCTCCTCACTCTGCATTGACTTCTTTGGGTGCAACACTAGAATCCACATGCCCGGACCCCAGTTAACACTCCTGTTCCTTAGACATGGGTGGAGAGTCCTTCAGAATGTACGGGAAGGATTACAAGCCGTGTGCCTCTCCTCCAGGCTGAGCGGACCAGGCTCAGGAAGGTGAAGGTGCCTATATGCCCATGTGGAATAACGCACAGTATGTACAGCCATCACCTCAATCGAGTCGTTCTTATTATACTCCCGTGGAATCCCTTCCTCATCCTGACATTATCATCACCCCGAAAGGAAACCCCATACCCATTATTTCCCATTCCCCCTTCCCCTCTGCCTCTGGTAAGCACCAACCTGTGTTCTGTCTGTACGGACTTACCTATTTGGGATCTTCAATATAAATGAGATGATTCTGTATGTGACCTTTTGTGTCTTGCTCCTCTCAGCGAGCATAACCATCTCAGGTTTCGTCCACGTTGTAGCAGGTGTCAGTACCTGCCTTCTGTGGCCAAGTGATAGTTCGTGGAATGTACGTACTGCAATTTTGCTTATGTATTCATCTGTTGATGGACATTTGGGCTGTTTCTACCTTCTGGCTGTTATGAATGATGCTACTATGAACATGTGCACACAGGGACTTGTTTGAGTACTGGTCTTTAACTCTTTGGGGCATATACCTAGAAGTAGAAATATGGGGTCAGGTGATAAATCTGTGTTTACTTTTTTAAAGAAACTACATTTTTTAAATTAATTAATTAATTAATTTTTAAATGTTTTATTTATTTTTGAGAGAGAGAGAGAGAGAGAGGGCACACAAGCAAGGGAGGGGCAGAGAAAGAGGGGGACAGAGGATCCGAAGCAGGTTCCACACTGAGAGCAGTGAGCCTGATGCAGGGCTCCAGATCATGAGATCATGATCTGAGCCGAAGTCAGACGCTCAACCAACTGAGCCACCCAGACACCCACATTTATTTATTTTTTTATTTAAAATGTTTTTGTTTTGGGGGCGCCTGGGTGGCTTAGTTGGTTGGGCGTCCGACTTCGGCTCAGGTCATGATCTCACGGTTCGTGGGTTCAAGCCTCACATTGGGCTCTGTGCTCACAGCTCAGAGCTTGGAGCCTGCTTTGGATTCTGTGTCTCCCTCTCTCTCTGCCTCTCCCCTGCTCACCCTCTGTCTCTCTCTCTCAAAAATAAATAAACATTAAAAAGAAAGATGCATTGACTGTATATTAAAATGTTTTTGTTTTTGTTTTGAGAGAGAGAGACTGTGCATGAACACATGAGCAGGGGAGGGGCAAGGGCAGGAGGGACAGAGGATCCAGAGCATTTCTTTTTTAAATAGCAACTTTACTCTGGAACTTTCCTGCATATGGAGAGATGGGAAATTGGGTGAGGAGTCGGGAGATCTGGGTTCTTTTCCTGGCTTTGCCCCTAACCAGCTGTGTGACCTTGAGCAAATCACTTCCCCTCGCTGGGCTCTTGTTTTCTCATTTGAAAAGTAAGGGGATTTCATAAAGCAAAATGATCTTAAAAGTCTCTTACTCTTTTAAGATTTTACTGGGAAAAAATGGGTTCCAGAGAGAAGAGGGGGAGAGAATTATCAAACAGCTATCAGATTATCTTCAAGAACTTTGTCTACCGTGTTTTAAAATTGTGAGTTAAAAACACCCCAAATAATTGGGCTTTTTTTTTTTCCTGCCAGTGTGTTTCTAGTTAGTGAATAGCTCTGGCTTCTTATGCCCATCAAGATTCCCAGAACAAGATACCCTTCTCCTGCCCATCACTTCCTGTTGCTGGGCAGCTCCTGAACAAAACATGGCAGTCATGAAGCCAAGACGGGAGCCAACCCATCCCCACTGTCCTACGTGAAGGAATGCTGAGCCTCACCCCATGCTGGTTCTCTCAGTACATGGTGTCAGCTGGATAGCCTGAGTCTGGTCTTTGGAGATGTACGACCCAAGGAGGGGAGTTAGCAGACCCTTCCTGTGTCTGTATAAAGACCGTCTTTGGAGGAAGAACCAAAGACGTCCTGTGACGCCGTCCAGCCAGGAGATTTTCCTCCTTGGGAGATTTCTACTCCCCTGACCCTCTTCTAGCTGATTGATCTCTGGCCCAAGTGCAGTGCCTAGGGAGGGAGGGAGTTTTTTCCTCCACTGGAGGGGATCCTCCACAGTATACCATCCAGGTCCAAAGCATGTGTTCCCCTGAGCCGCCTGCTGGTTTTCTGGGGAGACCCGAGTTTAAACAACAAAAACATGTGATCCAAGTGGTTTATTTCATTCAGTCAGCCATTTATTTGCTCATTTTTCATCCATCCATCACATATTTTTGAGTGCCTGCCATATTAGATTCTAGGAATAAACAAAATGAGGCACCTTCCCTATGGACCCTTCCTTTTTTAATAGAGGGTACAGATGAGTGGCTTTTGGAAAGAACACAATGAATACGAAGTGACAAGTGCTATATAATAGGGGGCCACAAATGGTGTTCAGGAGTACAGACGAGGGAAGTCACACTTGGCAAAAATCGTGAGAGGGCAGATTCAAAGCATGTTCTAGACAGAAGCTAATCTGTGTAGAAGTCACAGAGCACGACACATGATGGGACCTAGGAGATGACCAGTACTTGCTGGAACACAGAGGGAGGGTGACGAGAGGGGAGGTTGGAGAGGGGACTCCATTAGGGAGGATTTCACTGTCGGGCATCTGTGAGCTAGTGAGTTGGCTGGGGCCTGGCATATTTGTATCCACACTTTAGAAAATGACACCTCTGGTGTTGGGTGAAGAATGAGTCAGAGGGGTAAGAGTAGAAGTGGGGAGGGACACCCGGCTGCCTCATTTGGTAGAGCATGCGACTCTTGACCTCGGGGTTATAAGTTCGAGCCCCACGCTGGGTGTAGAGATGACTCAAAAACAAAATCTTAAAAACAAAGAAAAAAAAAAGAGTGGAGGTGGGGAGACCACTCAGGAAGCTGCTGTGGTCACTGCCATGAAATGATGGTGACCGAAACCAAGGCGGAAGCAGCGGGAAGGAAGTAGATGGGGTCCAGAAACACGTGAGGTTGGGGGCTGCTGCTGGGCCCAGCGTCCAGGACAGAAACTGCTGAAATCTGAATCAGAATCCTTTAGCCCGCCCCACATCCTGGCACAAGGGAGGGTCCTTATCCCCCGGGTCTTCAGAAGCATAACCTTGTCTCCCAGGAGCAAGCCTTGGAGCCCTGCTCCTGTGCCCGACAGCCTCAGTCAGGACAGACGGGAGCTGGTGACAGTGTACAGGTGAGAGAAGAATCCCGGGGGACCTGCCTCCAGCCATCCTCTTTGACTTGGCCCCCATGGCAGAACAGCAAACTGGACCAAGTTTTAAGCTCCCATGTTCTGGAAACAGTGGCAGTCTTAAAGCACTGTATCTCATTCTTTTTTTTTTTTTTTTTTTCCAAGTATAGTTAACATACAGTGTTATATTAGTTTCAGATGCACAATATAATGACAACAGTTCTACACATGACTCGGTGCTCATCACGATAAGTGTACTCTTATCCCCTTAATCTATTTCATTCACCCCCCACCCACCTTCCGTAGCCATCCTTGCTTTTCTGTCTCAGGAGGAGGGAAAAAGGGTTTATCTCTTAAGGACTCCTCCCAGGCCCCTTGGGCAGCCATTTTTAATCCTTCCCCTTGCAGGCCTTAGAATGATTTCTTGTGCTTGAGGATGTGAACATTGGGCGGTCATAATGTCGCTCATTCTACCAACCCCCTGGAAGCCCCTTCTTCTGGGTCATAGTCTCAGCACTGCCATTATCTCTAAAGGGACAACATCAGGGCCACCATACCTTTGTGCACAAAATATCTGCAGAAATTCATTTAAAAAAAAAAGTCCCAATGAGCAACCAGCTTCCACCTGTCTAACCGCTAACCCTCAGTGTAGCTACCTTCACTCGGCCCCTGGATCAGAGGGCATCAGTGTGATCTTTTCTCTGTGCCCTACCCCAGACCCACTCAAACCCAGGCCCATACAACACATAGGGTTCCTAGAAGCTCTGAGATTCGTGTGTTTCTCACTGGCCTAGTGCATGGCATCTTCTAGGTGCTGGGCCAGTGGGACAGTGTTTGTTTCCAGGATTATTCCAAGCGGAGTTGCCCTTCCTTCTAGAACAGTGGTTCTCAACCGGGAGTGGCTTTGTCCTCCAGGGGACAGTTGGCAATGTCTAGAGACATTTTCGATTGGAGGCAGGAGTGGGTTCTGCTGGCATCTAGTGGATAGAGGCCAGGGATGCTGCGAAACGTCCTGCAATAATACCCAAGGCAGTTCCCCACACAGAGAATTGTGGGTCCCACATGTCCATCAAGGTTAAGAAATCCTATTCTAGAACACTGGTCTGTGACCAACAGGACCCTGGAGTCCTTCAGGCCCCGGAGGATTGCTAGAACAGACCACAAGTTCAAGAAAAACTCACTTGGCATTGTATTTCTTTCCACAGCTGAACTCTGTCCGAGAGGCCCAGTTAGAGCTGCTGGAGGCAGCAAGACCCCGCGGGCCGGGGAGCAGGGAGCGGGGCCCAGTACTGAGGATGGCCAGGCAGCAGCAGCCGCCGCCCTGGGTCCACGCAGCCTTCCTGCTCTGCCTCCTCAGCCTCAGCGGGGCCATCGAGATTCCTATGGATCGTGAGTCCTGCCCCATCCTCTTTGATTCTCCTGATTTGGGGCAGAGGAGTTGGGAGGGGATGGGAGGTTGGCGGGGAGTGAAGACCAACTTTGGAAGAGGTTGGGGAGAGGGGAAGTGATTCTGGATGCAGAGCTGGGTTTCCCTGCAAAGAATTGACGGAAGCAGATCTGTGTTTGGGGATGTGAGACGAATTGCGCGGCACGATCTCTGAGGACTGTGGCTGAGCTGATGTTGGGGCTGCCTGGAGCCTGCTGAGCAGGACTGGAGGTGGCAGATTTGAAAGTCAGTGTGTCACTCAGGAGTTCTTCCCTCCACTCTCCTCCCTCCGATCTCTGCAGTCTTGACTTGCCCGTCAAAGTGGAGTTTCCAAGGACCAAGTGCAATGGATAGTTCTCATTTGCCTTCCTAATATCTGAGCTGGATCCTAGGCCCTCGTGGCTGGACTAATCAGGAGGGACGGCCTGGGGAGGGTTGGGAAGGGAATTATTTCGCAGAAGCCTGGGGCTAAATGAAACATTAAAATAGAGCTCCATTTTAATGCCAGGGTCCAAAACCCAGGTGCTGATTCCTTCTGTTTGTTTTTGCCTCTCCCGTGGCGAAGTTGGAAAGTAAAATCTGTATCATTCTGTTTCCCATGGTGGGGGCATTATTTGGCCATCAGAATCATAAAAGAAGGGGTTTGGGATGCTGACAGCCATGTCTCTTGCAGCCATATCTGTTGCTACGTTCGTAAGTGGCTCATTGACTGGCAGCCATGCTCCATGGCCCTGCATTTAGCTGCGTACCCCCTTTGCCACAATTCTGACACCTCCACCAGAATGTCTTGGCATTCCAGTGCCCTGATGTGGGCATACCACCTCTGTCCCCTGTGCCCTGCTTCCAGAAATAGATGGGATCCACATGATGCCGATGCTGACTTGGGCTCTGTCCAGGTGACAGATTTCTGGGGAGGGCTGGGAGAGGGATACAGCCTCCAAGAAGTGCCCACTGAGCTCTCCAAAGCCAGACCCTGGGGCCGGGAGTCAGCATAGCTTGGAGAAGAATTACACATACTTCAGCGCCCCCCGCCCCACTCAACCCTACAAATAATAACTGCCCAGAGGAGTGGCCACTTCTGGGTAAGAGAAGGCCAGCAGAAAGTATAAGAAACAAGACAGGCAAGGCCCTGTTGCCTTCCCAATAGCCCCAAGTGCGTGTATGTGTGTGTGCATGCACGTGTGTGTGTGCGTGTGTGTGCTCACTGAGGGGGGGGGGGGTCATGAAATGAACTGTTCCCGTGGAGACCATCTCCACTGATAGCTCAAGGAAGAGTCTCTCATTAACAATCCCAGGCAGACAGTCTAATAAGGAGCACGATAAGGCTAAGTCCCTGGAGAGCAGAGGGATACAGAGGAAATTGGGTTATCAAAGAAGTGGTGAAGGCTCATTTCTCTTCTGCTGCTTCTCCTCACTCATTCACTTGCCACTTTGATCCCTGGGGCTAGTGGGTGAGGGGTTCCTTCAAGAAGAACTTATAAATAGATGGCTTTGACATCTTTGTTAGGAATCTGATTTCTAAAGCTCTACCGGAGCCATGGGCAGGTGAGCTAGCAGTCAGTCTCTCCAGAGTACCGCGTGTGGGGCAAAGAGCCACAAGTGCCCTGACCTCCCCCACCACCATCTCCCCACCTCAGTGTCCGTGAGGAGGGCCTAGAGTGTCCCCTACTTCCGGAAATGCATTGAAGGAAACATAGACCTTTCCTTGCTCTGGGTCACACAGCAAATGGGTGATGGATTCATGAATAGATCCCAGGTCTCTTTAAGATGTACAACTTGATGACCAGGTTGGCACTCGATATGCCCCACCCCTCCCTCTGCTAATCCCACCTTCTTTTAGTTCTTGGAACTCACCAGAGTAGCAGCTGCCACATGTCTGGCTGAAAGCTAAGTGCTTTAGAAGCATCTCCTCTGAGTCTCATCTTTCGCTGACAGGTTAGAAAACCGAGGTGCAGAGAAATAAAGCCGTTGTCTCCAGCTCAGCAGTGGCAGGGCTAGCACATGACTACAGCACCTCTCTGAATGAGGAGGTGAGGTCTTTTGTGACACCAGGCCTCGTGCCCCGGGCCGCCGCACAACAGGAAACTCATGATGCCTGCCCGAAGCATGCCTCCTATGCACTATACCTCCCTGCCGGCTGCGGGCTCAGTGGCCCTGGTGACATGTCCAGAATCAGCCTACAGAAGATGAATGCAAGACAAGAGAAGGCCAGCCCTTCAGAGGGGACCCAGTTGCCCAGGGAAGAGGTCCTCTTCAGCCAGGTTTTCCCCTCTTGCTGGGCCCAGCATAACAGGTGCCCCCCAAGTTACCTGAGCCCACCCTTCCTTCTTAACCCTAGGCCGTGGCCCGGTGGGAGGGGCTGGGGAAAGACCATACGTTCTTACTCCTCTCCCCCCAGAGTCATTGAGGTATTTCTTGACATACAACATATGTAAGTTTAAGGTGTACAACTTGATGATTTGCTACACGTATATATTACGCAATGATGACCCCATGGGTTAGTTTACATGTCCATAATTACCTTTCGTGTGTATGGGGTGGCAACTTTGAAGATCTGCTCTCTCAACAACTCTCAGGTGTGTGATATAGTTCTGTTAAACTACAGTTGCAGGCCGTACGTTAGGTCCCCAGAACATACCCATCTTAGAGCTGGAACTTTGTATGCCTTGACCAGCATCTCCCCACTTTCCCGCCCCCCTCCCAGCCCTTGGCAACCACCATTCTACTTTGTTTCTTTGAGTGTGAAGTTTTTAGAGTCTGCATAGAGTGAGAACATACCGGATCTGTCTTTCTCTGACTTAATTTCACTCAGCGTAAGGTCCTCAGGGCCTATCCGTGTTGTCACAAAAGGTAAGAGAGAGATGCCTACACCCCACGTTCACTGCAGCGTTATTCATAAGAGCCCAGATGTGGGAGAAGTGAAGGCCAGGCACTCTTCTGGGAGAGGCTGCGGGGGCTCTGGCTAGAGGCTGCCCCGTCAGGGGTGCCCTTCCGCTCGCTTGCCCCTTCAGGGGGCATTATCTGTGCCTTGAGGACCGGGGCACTGCTTCTGCTCTGGGGAGTTTGGGCCCAGCAGGCTTCCTGGAATAGCCCCCGGCGGCTACACAATCCCTCATTGAAGCCCCGGCCTCCAGCTCCCGCCACTGTGCCAGCAGAGTCACACGCACCCGCCTCACCCCCCCTCACCAGCCCCAAGGAGAACAGCGTGACCTTTGAAGAAAGCAAAGGGTCGCCTCATCAACAAGAGTGGGTTTGCCAAAAAGTGAGTCTGCTGGCAGCTCGCCCCTCTGTCCCCCTCCCCACGTCAAGGGACTGGGCATTTTTCTCCTAGGAGCCCACAGAGGAGACGGCGGGGTGGGAGGAACGTTTCTTCCTCACTGTCATCCCAAATAGTGCTGCAGGACGACCTCAATACACACACACACACACACACACACACACACACACTCCATCCTCCAGGGATGGGTTGGGTGCCAGGGACTGTAGATACCAGCCAGGGAAAGAGAAGAAGTGCACAGATAAAGGAACCTTGCAGACGGGGCAGGCACCTGCCTTATCCCCTGCAGAGCTCATTGGAAGACTTTTCCTCCCCCTTGGAAGGCAGAAGAGCAAACTCATTTTCCACTTGACATCGCCAGCAAGTTCTATAGATGGAGAGAAGGGCAGGTGGTGTAACAGAGGGTTTGGGGGGGGGGGAGTGTCACAGTACTAAGTAGGCTGCCCTTGTCCCCAGGCACGCGGTCCTCACGGTCGTCTCCCTATGGTGGCTTGTCCTCTGGTTTGGTTGTGTCTCTGTAATAAATTCCTTGGTGGCACAATGGCGGTTGCAGATGTCATTACCTCCTTAGGGAATTAGACTCTCAAGAGGCCCCTGGCCTGATTTCAGTGTGGGGCTGGGGACAGCATCCAGCCAGCTCTGAGGGTCTCCACTCCCCCTAAGACCTCCCTCCTTACTCTCCTTTGTCCAGAATGTCAAGGAGGAGAGAGTGTTGGGGCCCCACTTGGCCCACCCGCCTCTCTGGCCAAGGACGGATCTGTGAAAGGAGCTTTGGACCAGGCTACAGGAGAACTGGTCCTTATTTCAGTTCTGCAGCAAATTTGCTACGTGCCCTTAACTGAATGACTTCCCTTCTAAGAATCTGAGATTCCCTGGATAATGTCTAGGGCTCTTTCCATTGAGCCAGCCTTTGATTTTATAAAAGAGAGGCTTGAAGGCCATGTGGGCAAAGCAAAACCCCTGCCAGGACAAGGACAGAGCCCTCCACTGTGTGTGAGGACCCAAGAGACATCAACTGTGTCTTGAGATGAAGAAACCGCAAACCTGGGCTAGTGGTCAAAGGGCCTACTTCTCCTGAAAATGGCCCGTTCTCCCCTCCTCCTCCTCCTCCATGCCCAACCACACTGGCTTTCCAGAACTATCTTTCTTGGGCCCCTGGCAGGAAGATCTTATATGGGTGAAGATGCCATCATGGGGAGTTGCCAGGAGCACGTGTTCAGAAACGACAGATTTCTGCTTTTCCCCGGACTTTTCATTCCTTTTTGTTTCCTGCCGAGGCTGCACCCAGGCAAATGGCCAAGCAGATAAAATATTTCAGTGCCCCAGCAGACACACAACCCTGGCCCACTTGAAAGAATTTTGAACCTTTTTGTGGGTCTTACTCGAGACTTTCATGTACCAACGGTGTGGATCGCAGGGGACACGTTCCTGCCACACTCCACCTTTCCTCTCCCATGTCTGTCTTCTCTCTCGTGACTCTTCCGGCACCTCTTGGTCCTGCCTTAGCCCTGCCTGCTCCACACCGCCCTTCTCTGGGCCCCTGGACTCCTCTTCCACAACTCACTGTGGCTGAGTCAGAAAGCTTCAAGGTCACCTTGGCTCCCCCACAGCCTTTGCTTCCCGGGGAAGCACCCACTCTGAAGAAGGCAGCCCACAGCACCAACACATATCTGATATCCGCACCAGCGTGAGATACGCACGGCCTGTTACTTCACGATAGAACCATAAAGAAGGGACATCTTACGAAGTTACAGAAACACATGTTCTCCTTTCTGTGAATTTTAACCAAGACCTCCTCCCCAGGAAGCACAGGACCATCGAAGATCCTGCCGTTCGAAGCGTGGTACACAGACCACCAGCTTGTCAGAAACGCGGGGTCTGCTAAATCAGAATCTGCATTTTAACCAGACCCACCCCCCCACCCCCCGCCAGCCTGGGTGATTCATACACTTGTCAGGGTTTGAGAAGCCCGACCTCAAACATGTACACACCTGTACACGAGCACCCGCACATCTCAGGTGTGCAGACCTTTGCTACCTGCCTCTTCATCCTTTTCGTAAAAAGCACAGAAAGGAGTGGTGGGCTCTGCTTCATCCCTGCACTTGTTTGGAAGAGGGATTTCCGTAGGGCAGCGTATTTCTGCCATGAGCAGAGCCGCGGTGATTCATCGGTCCCTAGAATTTTCCAAAGGATAGGCAAGAAGGTGCTTGCATGTGGGACAGAGAAGAAGGTGCAGCGGAAGGAGCGAGGCCTGCGGACCGTGTGGGCTCTGCCTCATAGCCCTGGTTCAGATCTGCTGCTGCCAGGCTTCTCAGCCTCAGCCTCGCCCGGGCACCATTGGCCAGGGGGCCCGCTTTCCTCAATGGCGTCCAGAGAGGGTGGACGGCACCTTTAGAGCCCAGCCTCTTTCCAGCAGCATCGTCCCGTTCGATAGTTGGGCTTTCCCGGCAACACCACTTGATCAGAAGCCGGTCTTTCTGCTCAACTGCGTGGTTTGAGCTCCCCGGGGAAATGTCGCCTCCGTGAAGCGCTCGCCGAGTCCGTCCCCACCTCTGGGTGGCTCTTCCACCGAGCGCTGCAGCCCTACTCTCCCGGCAGGCTGGGGCGTGAGGATCCCTGGGCGAGTAGTCGTGTACGATAACCTATAACCGCTGTCTTCTTTTCTCCCCCTCACAATGCTAACCCATCGGAACTAACAGCAAGCATTCAGAATGAGCGTAAGTCCCCCGGGCGCCTCTGTGCACCTGTGCCTCTGGGAGGTAGGAGGGCAGCAGGGAGGGTGGGAGAAGGCCAAGTGAGGAGATGGGGGGGGGGGATCAGCCGCCTCCCCACCCTGCCTGCTGGGGGTTTCTTGACACCAGGGCCCTGTAGTGCGGTCCCTTATCACATGGGGACGGCAGCCATCCACCCGGAGATTCCTGTTGCTGGGAAGGGCAGAGGAGCAGGTGGGTTAAGAAGGGCCTCCGCTCCCCACCCTCGGGTAGCTGGCAAGGAGCACCGCGGAGAACACTGGAGGTGGGGACCAAGCGTGAGAGGAGCTGGTTCTTTGGGCCCAGGCCCTGGGAACTTGAACCTGTGAGCTCCAGCCTCACCACAGTTCGGCCGTCTGTTGACCCTCCAGGGCTCAGAATCATCACGGCTACTAGGCTCTGGAATGTGACCTGCGCTGGGTTCCTTTATTCATTCGACAAACATATATCAAGAACTCTTGTGCACAAGGCATCATACTGAGTGTTGAGATAGAAGAATGGGTAAAACAAAAGTTTCTCGTAGGGATCCCATGAGATCTTCGAGGGTTTCTTCTTAGGCTCAGTCTTTGGCATAACCCCCTTTCCTGCGGCCCCATTTAAGGAGCTGGGTCCCCAAAAGGAGGCACTGCCCGCCCCCCGTTTGCCTGCTTGTCCTGTGGCTCCTGAAGATGTTAATTTCAGCCATTCCCCAAACCCGGGGCCCCCGGCAGGTCCCCGCAACCCTGACCGCTCCCTGTTTGTGCTGTTGCAGTGTCCCAGCCCCCGACCATCACCAAGCAGTCCGTGAAGGACCACATCGTGGATCCCCGTGATAACATCTTGATTGAGTGTGAAGCAAAGGGGAACCCGGCCCCCAGGTGAGTGCGCTGGCAGGTAAATCCAAGGGGCCCCGCAAAGAGGGCATTGAGACCACACCCCTGCCCTTCAGAGAAGAACCCCCATCCTCCTGAAGAGGACATGAAACAGAAGCACGGAAATATTATGCCCCTTTGCCAAGGTCTCCCGGATTGAAAAGGGCAGAGCTTAGATTTAAACCCAGGCCTCTGACTGCACTGCCCCCACCCCCCACCCCCGCCCCCAGGCCAGGTTTGTCTCCAGCCGACAGAAAACCCTGGAGATTCGGAGATGTTCTGCTATTGGTCCCCCCCGTCTTCAAAGCAGCCTCCACAGGCTGGACTGTTCCAGAGCCTCGTGCCTGATTCGGACCAAACATGACAGGACCCCGTGCAGGTGTCTGTCAGGGGAAATGAGGCAGGACAGAGCCTTGGGTATATGGCAGCCTTCTTCTGCCCACCCCCCACCTGGTCTGCGTGAGCCTGAGAACGAGCAAGGCCTCTCTCACCCAGGGTGGAAGGAACAGGGTCACCCTGCAGGGTCAGGCAGGGCATAGATGGCCTTACTTCTGAAGTTTGGTCTTTGCCCCCCACGGTTCCTTTGCAGTAACAGTGATTCTCAGACACTGAGCAGCCACTCCTGCTTCTTTTAAGGTTATGTTCTGGACAGCTGTGCACACACCCCCACCCCCCAGAAGGAGAGGGAGATTCTAGCGTCTTCCCCTCTGGGCTCAGTTTTGTGAGGGCTGCTTGTTCTTTCAAAGCTGGCCCTCCTGGGCTAGAAGGTGCGGCCACTGCTGTCTTCTGCACCCACGAGCAGGAGCATGGATAACCCGGGCCATTGCTCTTTGGCTTTGGCTTTAGAGTTGGTTATCGAATGAGACAGGAGAGGCAGAGCCAGCTCCCCGATGTGCTTGGCCTGGGTGAAATATTACAAAAAATCAAACTCCCTGCCTAGGGACACCTGGGTGGCTCAGTCGGTTAAGCGTCTGACTCTTGCTTTTGGCTCAGGTCACGATCTCATGGTTCATGGGATCAAGCTCCGAGTCAGGCCCCGAGTGGACGGTGTGGAGCCTGCTTGGGATTGCCTCCTTCTCCTTCTCTCTCTGCCTCTCCGCCCCCCCCCCCCCCCCCGCCACTTTCACACATGCCCTCTCTCTTTCTGTCTCAAAAAGAAATAAATATTTTTTAATAATAATAATAAAATAAATAAAAACTAAAAGTCCCTGCCTGTTCCCGCAAAGAACATTGTCCCCCGGTGGCTATGTGGGTATCTACCACTTCCAGCCATGACTCCCAGCCTTGGCTGGGTAAGAGCGCTAATGTCAGGGACATGCCCCCCACACGGTCATCTGACTGCCACCTAGGACTCTGCATTTTATCAGGCTTCCCGGTCAGTTCTGCCGCTCAACCAGGGTGGGACCCACTGGTATGGAGGTGCGGTTATGGGACAGGGTCAGGGACCAGAGCCCCGAGGCTCTCACCTGGAGCCCGGAGCCCACCCTGTTTCTCTTTGTGGTCCTGCCTCTCCCCTCCGCGCCCCCTCCCCCGCCCCCGTCATACACAGCTTCCACTGGACTCGCAACAGCAGGTTCTTCAACATCGCCAAGGACCCCCGGGTGTCAATGAGGAGGAGATCCGGGACCCTGGTGATCGACTTCCGCAGTGGGGGGCGGCCCGAGGAATATGAAGGGGAATACCAGTGCTTTGCCCGGAACAAATTTGGCACGGCCCTGTCCAATAGGATCCGCCTGCAGGTGTCCAGTGAGTAGCATGGGCAGAGGGGGGACCGGCATGCCCTGCTTCTGGGGTAATGGGGGGGGAGCATGGAGGGTCATTCCAGAAAGGCCGCCCTGCCCTTGGCTGCCTTGGTGCCCTGCAAGTCCTGCTTGCTGTTTGCCTCTGAGGAGGAGCGCACTTCCCCCTACTCAGAAAGATTCCTGGGAGAGGAGGCTACCAAACCAGTCTTGAGCAACTTCACCTGCCCTCTGGGCAAGGGAGGAGAGGAAGGAGAGGAGCCTTTGAAGCTGTGCATTTATTTAGACAAATGGCCTCTATTCTCTCGCTGTACCTCGCCTAGACCCACGGGGGCTCTCTCCCCACTCCCTTGTTCTCCCATCTCCCTTTGTCCTTCTCCCCCTTGCATTTCTGCCTCTAACCTGCTCCTTGCCTCGGCCCCAGCCATCCTCCTCATTTCACCCGCCTCTGTCTGACTCTCCCCAGAATCTCCCCTGTGGCCCAAGGAAAACCTAGACCCTGTCGTGGTTCAAGAAGGTGCTCCCTTGACCCTCCAGTGCAACCCCCCACCCGGACTTCCGTCCCCAGTCATCTTCTGGATGAGCAGCTGTAAGTCTTGGGGGGCGTTTGATTTCTACTTTAATCTTAAGGAGGGGAGTGGGTGTGTGAAATGGGAAGGGCTTGCCCAAGGCTGGAAGGCCTTCACTTGTGAGAAGCCGGTGTAAAGGGGCCACGTGGCTGAGAACACGGTGAGAGGCCGCTCAGGCTAATTTCCTAGCCTGACTGCTGATAGCCGTGTGATCTTGAGCAAGGTGCTTAACATCTCTGGGCCTCAGTTTCCTCTTCTGGAAGAAATAGGGCTAACCGCTGTCCCTCTTTAATAGGACCATTGTTAGGATAAATGAGGTCATACAGCCAAAATGCTTATAACAGAGCCACATGCACGGTAAAGTGCTCAGTAATATTTGTGATGATGGCGAGTTGACAGAAAGCCTCCTGGTTCAATCTCTGGTCGGTCTGGATTTACTGGGACACAGCCAGGCAAAGGGATGTAACCTTTGATAAAGGAGCGATAGGGAGACGGTGTTTGCAGAGGGACAGAGTATCGTCGAGAGCTTGTTCGGTTCTGTTTTGGACTGAGACTCTTCACCGCTCTGGACCTGTTTCTTCCCACATTTTCAACCAAAATAAGTGGGGGCGTGAGTTATAAAGGCGACCGGAGCTCCGCTGTCTGTGTCTTCCCGGTTTCCCCTCCGCCTCCTTCCATACCTGCTCCCCTGTCTATCCATCCATCGCTCAATGTATAGATCTGCCTGCCTGCCTGCCTGCTTATCATGCATCATCCGTCCATCCCCGAGTTTTTAGCGGCCTGCTTCTGAAAGAGGCTGCCTGTCGAGGAGGCAGAGTTGCGCGTTGTTTTGCAGACAGAGGGCTTTGCCCTCATTCATTCTCTCGCTACGTCACCATGGTGCATACGCCTGGGGAAGGCTGCCCGGCCACGGGCTGGAGGGTTGGTTAGTCAGCTAACAGCTCAGACCCTCTCATCCCCTGCATCACTCCCGTCACCAGCTTATGTCCATGCTGCCTCCCGAGCAGATCTCGTGACCCTTGCTGGCATCTCTCCAACACAGGCCACCATCCGCATTTCCCTGGGTTGCCATAATCAGCCACAACTGGCCTCCTTGGTCTTCCCAAAAATGAATCTGATAGTTTCATTTGTATGCTCCGAGCCCTTCCCTGCCTCCTCCATCACCTCGGACAAAGTCCAGACTTCTTTCCCTTCCTGATCTGCCTCCCTCTGCCTCCCCAGCCTTTCTCCTACCCCTTGCCCCAGCTGTGTGCGCTCACCTTTAGCACACACTGTTTCTGCTGCTTAGAAACCTCTTAGGGCCCTGTCTCTTCTGTGTGGTAAGTGTCATGCGGCCTCCAAACCCCAGATGAGGGCACCCTGGAAGGAACTGGGTGCTACTCTTCTCAGCTCATCCCCTTCTTACCAGGGGCTTCCCACTCACCACCCTGCACTGTGATGATTTGTTTATCTGCTGCACCTTCTGCTAGATTCGGCTCTCTTTCACCAATACCTGGCACAGTGCCCGGCACACAGTAGGCCTACAGTAAATCTTGGGTAAATGATTTGTAGAACCGACCAGCCCATCGTTGAAGGGTTGGCCTCATTAACTTTGAGCCTTATGAAGTAGCATCTTAAGGGGCTCCTGGGCAGCTCAGTTAGTTGAGTTTCCCGCTCTTGATTTTTGGCTCGGGTCCTGGTCTCACGGTTCATGAGATTGAGCCCCTAGTCAGGCTCTGCACCGACAGGGATTCTCTCTCCCTCTCTCTCTGTCCCCCTCCTGCTCGCGTGTGCTCTCTCTCTCAAAATAAATAAACTTCAAAAAAAAAAAAAAAGAAATAGTGACTTAATAAACAATTGTGGGGGGGGTAGGAAGGAGTTAGCTATGAATATTCGGCCTTATGAGTGTACTTTTACAAACCGAATCACCTGGAAACTTGGTCGTTTGAATTTACGTCTAATGCTTCAAAAATCATAGATAATGTAGTCAGCCTCCTCAGCCACTCCCAGGATGTCACTAATTCCAAAAAGCACCATTTTCATATCTTAACCATGGCTGAAATTAGGAAGCACCCTAAAATTGATGGTGCATATCATTGATTAGTATGTATCTTGCGATTATAATTGGTAGTGCTGGTGGGAGTAAGAGCTTCAAATAGAAAACAAGTGAATTTGACTCTTGATTTGGGAAGCAAATCCCTCCCTCTGGCCCGGGGCCAGAGTTTCTCTGGCATGAACAGGAGGTGGAAACGTATGGCCATAGAGCATGGGTGTGGTGGGCAGACCGGTGTGAATCTGAATCCTGCCCTTCCGTCACTGCTTTTGCAACGCAGGACACATTAAATCCACCAGGACACATTAAATCCACCGCTCTCTTATCTGTAAAATGCGAATAAGCCTTGCCTCAGAGTTGAGAGGATTAGACCAAGTAACGTTGAATTCCTGACCCACCAGGCGTCCTGTTGGTCCTCGATTGCCAGAACTATCATGATTGTATTACTGTTACCATTGCTGCTAACCTCCCTCTGTACCTCTGCTTCCTAATAGCCATGGAGCCCATCACCCAAGACAAGCGCGTCTCCCAGGGCCACAACGGAGACCTGTATTTCTCTAACGTGATGTTGCAGGACATGCAGACAGACTACAGCTGCAACGCCCGCTTCCACTTTACCCACACCATCCAGCAGAAGAACGCGTTCACCCTCAAGGTCCTCACCAGTAAGTGCAGGTCCCTGCCGGGGGCCAAGAGCCAGGGGCACAAGCCCACTGAGCTCATGGAGCCCCAGGCACCTGGGTCTGGGGGAAGCCTTGTCCCCGAGACTGACCAGGGAATCCTCCCGGCTCATTGTGCCTCAGCCACTTGAGCCACTTGAAACGACATCTCTTCATTCTGAAGCCTTGGGTTAAACTTGGTCCCGCTCTAAGTCAGTGCCTCTCAAGCTTCGGTGTCGGCCCGAGTCACCTGGCCAACTGGGCAACCATCCCAGGCTCAGCCCTAACCTGCCTCCACGGTCCCGGCCTCCGTGTTCCCCATTAGCTCTCTAGGTGCCCTGGACACACAGCGGCATCGGAGAAGCACTGCTTCGAGTGGCCATCTGGCATCTCTCTCGTGCACTCAGCTTGAGTATTTCTTTTATGTCTAGCCGTTGTATGGTTGTCTGTACTTCTAGAATAAAGCCATAGTACAGAATAGCCAAATTAGTAGGGACACCGCCATGAATTGTGCGTGATTCTGTAACACGTGTACGCTGGACCGCATGGAATGACTGCGTTTGCAAGTTGCAGACTTATGTTCTGGTTTTGTTGCCGTTTTTATTTCCTGACGCCGTTTGGCTGGTGCCAAGGGGAGTCGGCGCTTCCCGATCCGCTCAGCACCGGTGGCCCTCCACGGAGGAGGAAACCTAGTCAGTTCACAGAGATACTTCTTGCCGGGGACCCGCCGGCCTGGAGCTCTGGCTTCAAGTCCTCAGCCTGCTTTATAGGGCGTTGGGTTCAAAGTGGCCGTGGTAGTTTGCAGCGTGGGTTGGTAACAGGCCTTCTCGAGAGGAGACCTCAGTCTGTCTGACTCAGCTGTGAATGCCGTTTTCCACACCGTGGACGGTGGTGGTTTGGGGGGAGGCCAGGCAGATGGCATCACATAGGCACCGGCAGCTGCCGCAGGTGGGTGAAAATAGCCTGAACCCCAGCGCCCACACGCCTCCCAGAAGGGCGCGGGGAGAGGCCGGGGGAGCTCACTCCTCACTCACGACAGCTGGGGGGCCTGGCCCCCTCGTACTGTCGTCTTTCCTCAGCGGTCCCTGCCAGTGATGGAAGCAGGGGGTACTGAGAGCCCCCAGCCCCACACTCCGTGTCCACCGGGCATCGGGGTGGACCCCCAAGGAACAGCTCTCTTCCTGCTCCCCTCCTCCTGTATGGAAGTTTTTTTCCCTTCTTTTTTTTTTTTTTTTCTCTTCATTTTCTTCTCTTTGCTTTCTCAATCTCTTCCTCCGTCCTTCTTCCTTTCTTCTTTTCTCCTCCCTCATCTTCTTTCTCTCTGGACCCCATTTAACCCTCCTCCAGCCCATCTCCCCCGCTTCTGCAGCTCCCGACGCACTGTTCTAAAGTTGGTGTCAGGCTGCCCATAATTTGCTAACCAATAGGATGGCCAGAAACCCCAGGAAAAGCCCCGCGTGCTCCTGGTGGGATGACCCAGCTTCATTCTGCTTGCTGCCCCTCGCTGGCTTTCTTATTCCGGACCCAGGCCCAGAGGGGACCCTTAGAGAAGAAAGCTGGGCTGCCTGAAGTGTCTCAGTGCACGTCAGGAGCAATCAGCTGCCAGCTGGCTGAGCTGAGGAGGACAGTGTGGTCTGCCCAGGACCTCGGAGTGGCCTCTGGAGCCAGGATGTGGCTGGCAGTGAGGGCAAGATGCTCACTGAGCCAGTCCCCGGACGGCCTTCCGTGCCGTCACCTGGATTCCTTTCTGCTTGCCCGGTGCGATGCTGAAAGTCAGCCTCCTGTTGGGGGAGTGAGTCAGGTGACCTTCTGTGGTCCTCAGTGTCACGTGGGGTACACGCAGGGCGATGGAAATGGTAAAGCGGCTTCCTCTGCGGAATGAGGCAGCTAGAGATTCTCAACATTCAGAAGTTCGACTTTCCAGAAGCATCCTTTTCTCTATCAGAGGAAGGAAAGGATATTTATTTCTGCTTCATTTTGGGGTCCCCTTCGCCACTGAAAACTCTTTCCTCCGAACACCGAGAACCCCCCCCCCCCAGGTGATGAGAACAGAACCCCGTCTGCTTCCTGGAGTTCTCCCAGGGGCAGCTTTGGCTGGGAGCAAGTTCTGGGCATCTGAGCCAGCCCAGAATTGGGCACGGTTGCTTAAAATAGCACAGTTGTGCTCTCTCTGCTTTCCTGCCTGGAAAGGACATAGGCTCTTTCTTGTACCTCCAGAACCAGGTCTGGGGGTGGGAGGCAAAATAGCCATGCTAGGACAGCTTCAAAGTCTCTTCTCACCATGCCCCTCCACCACCGCTTGCCCCGTGGGGGAAGAAACCAATCTCACCATGCCTGATTTTGCACTACCTACGTAAAAGGAAGGGGAAAAAGGTATCTGATACAAAACACTGGGTGATCTGAAATCATTTTTCAAATTTGTTTTGGGTTGCGGTCAAAGACAAACAGCAGAGTCGGGCTCACAAAGATGTGCGTGTCCTACTTTGCCCACACCGGAACAGGTCCCTTTGGGTGCCTTCTGCCACAATAAGAGGTGACCGTGGTGAAGGAGGAGGCTTCTCTGCTGAGGCAGACAGTGAAGCACTAAGCCTGCTTCCTTCTAATGTCACTTCTAATCTAAGTGACACTCTTAGGAGTCAGAAAGCCTCCCTGAATTTCTCAGCTGTGCTGCAGAATCCACAAACTGTGAGGTTAGTTCCAAGCTCGGAGCACTTCTCTGCAAAGAGGTGGGTTCTGTTTCACCTTGGTCGCACGGGAGCCTAGGAGCATGAAGCCAGGGCCCTTTTAGCTGTGTGCCCCTGTCCTCCCAAGCCAGAGGAGGACCGTCCCCTCCCAAGGCAGCCTCAGGCCCTCCTCCCCTCTGCCACCCTGCCTCTTCATTCCGCGGCAGGCTGGATCCCACCCTTAGCTCCAGGTGACCCCACGCCGACTCTCCGGACTGGCTCGGGCTTTTCAACATGCCCCATCTTAAAGGATAGTTCTGAATAATGCACATCTCCCCTAGTGGATGTTAAGCAGATTTGGGAAGCGATGCAATACGGTCCCAGCGAAGACTGTTCACAGCCTCTACAGTCGGTTGTAACACGATTTGATCTGTCTTCAAATATGCAAATATTCTGGCACAGCGCCTTGCCTCCCTCGGGCGGTTGGACTCTGTCCCTGGCTTCTCAGGGCTGTCTGCTTGGCTTCCAGTCGGCTGTACCCCCCACCCCACCCCCTGTTGGTACCATCAAAATTTGAACCCAGTAGCTGGACGGGGATGGCGGCAGAATGAAAAGCACAGCCTTGGCATGCTTCAGTGCCCTGTTCCAAAATGTCTTTCACGGAGGATTAAATGCCCAAGGGTCTTAATTACCTAACGTCGGAACCAAAGCCGCCGACCTCCTGCTGAAGGGATGACTTCAGCCCCAGCCAGTCTAGGAGCTCTGAATCTCTAGCTTGGTCAGCAGGTTTCTCCCATCCAAGTGTAAAACTCCTAGCCCATACCCTCTCTCTCCTGTCCCAGGCTGCCTTTCTCTTCCGAAAATCTGAACCGCAGCCCGGCTCTCTCTGCCTCCCTGGAGTAGAAGGAGGCCTTCTGCCAGCAGTGACATCTCAGAGACCAGGGTGGTGCCCTCTGGTCAGGTGGGCTGGGGAGGCCGGGTGCTTCTTGCTGGCAGCCCGTGATCACCGGGAGCCGCCAAGGGCCCCTGCGTCCCTCTCTCTCTGTCTCTCTGTCTCACTCTCTCTCTCTCTGTTGATGAACTGTATCTCTTGGACTGTCTTCTCTCCCTGAGCTCCCACCACTGCACCTTACCTTCTCAAGGAGGGCTCTGCGCTACCCGCCCCCCCCCCCCCAAGAGCTGGCCTGATCCAGAGTCCTGGGCACTGAGGATTTTGATGGGAAGTTGTTCAAAAGACCGCTGCGGGATTCCACTAATCCTTATCTCATTTGATTGGAAACATAGTAGGATCAAGCCATTACAGGTCAAGCCTAATTTCTTTCATTAAAAAGAAACTTATCTTATTATTGCCTTCTTTTGCAGGATTTAACCTTTTCTTCCCTCTTTTGGGCTGTTTTATGTTGCTTGTTCTTCACCAGGCACGTTTCCTTTTCAAATTTGCCGTCTTTCCTTTGCAAAAAAAAAAAAAAACACCGGTTGTTTTCGTGGCTTTGCGTTTCTGTTGTTCTCTCCCCGTTTATGCCTCCATGAGCTCTCCGTGGCCTCCTGTTTGCTCACCTTCTTTTGTTTATTGCAGACAACCCCTATAATGACTCGTCCTTAAGAAACCACCCTGACATATACAGTGGTGAGTCGCCGCGGTAACCTTGGGAGTAACCTTGCCTGTCCTAACCCCAGTTTGCCTAACTCGACTGATACCGTGTCATTAACTCACGCCGGGTGGCAGGGCTGACAGTTGGTCAGACCAGGGTAGGACTTCAGAAGACCTTTTGGGAGGACTCAGTAGAATCTTAGGAATCAGTGGCGGATGGATGGAGAGCATCTGAGGACAGATGCGTCCGCACGCACGTTGAGGAGGAGACGGAAGTCTGGTTCCTCCTAGTGGTTTACAGTACACAGAAAGCTTTGTGGTACATTTAGTTAACTCCTACGCGTCTGGATGTGAATTGCCTGCTCTGCAATCTAGCCTTAGTTACTGGGGGTGCCGTGTCACGGGCTCCGTGTGTCTTTAAAATCCATCTGGCAAATATGAGTGAGAGTTCACTGCTGAGTTCTCTTTTAAGGTAAGTATAAAGGAAGACGGACCATCCGTGGCTCTCTTGCCTGGGTCTCTTCTCTCCTCCAGCAGTGTGCACAAATGGGTGGGTGCCCACCCACCCACACGCTTGCAAGTCATGGGACACTTTCCATGAGGCATATTTCTGACGTAGCCCACAACTGGTTGCTCAAGCTGATTAGTAGCGTCATTAGCTATTTCCACACCTGAGCCCCCACCTCCCACCAGGGCTCAAGAATGTCTTGTTTCCCTTGAGCAGCCAGAGGAAACATCATTTACTGGCTTTGGCGAGGCAGCTGGCCCCCATCATCCGTTATGCCTTGGAAGCTGAGGCTGTAGGTCCCCAGGGGGGTCATTGTGGGCTCAAATAGATAAGAAGTGTCTGCATTGTGATGTGCTAATATAAACAATGATTGGGGTCTGGAGTGGGGGGTGGGAAGGGGGAGTGTGAGCCGGGGAGAGAGGCAAAGGCTCTTACTTGGCATCAAACAGGTAGAACCACACTGAGATTCTGCCAAAGAGATTTACTGCCCAAGGAAGCGGGGGACCTTTGTTGGATTCTGGGCATTGTTTGTTTTCAAAATAACGGGGCCAACTACCGTGGTGTCAAGAGCCCCGGAGCACTGGTGTGGAATGTGCCTTTCTCTAAATTGGATTTCAGATAATCTATTATGGAAGGATTCTCGAAGCTAGAGTGTATCAGAGCCAGAAGGTCCCTTAGAGACCATCTGGTCCAAACTGCTTGCTTTGTGTAAGATAAACTATTCAGGGAGGCATTGTTTTATCAATGGGATAAGTTTGACTGATTCCAGCCACTTAAATTTTGTGATTAGTGGTAGATGTGATTACAGGTGAGTGAGAGGGAGTTGTAAGAACCACCCAGGGCTATGAAACGAAACAAAGCTCGCAAGAACTCACAATGGAGATGGACCGCCTTCTCCTCAATCCAAGGTAGAATGAATGGGGTTGACCCAAGGATGAAGCCAGCTGGAAGAGGTATAAAGTCAAAGTGAGGCGCATGGTGAACAAAGGACAGCTAGGTTGAATGCTTCTAAAAAGAAATAGAAAGTGAAAAGGAAGGAAGATGAAGTCCTTCCTGAGTGCAGAGTTGGACAAAGAGACAATGCAATGAAAAATGCCCAGTGCATCTGTCTGCTTGGCCCCCCATAACGGCATTTTCTTCTAGTGATTTCTACAATGGTTTGGTATCCTCTGAACATACGCCAAGTGTCCAATGACCTGCTCGGTGGCAGGGGGAAGCTGGTCTGAGATTGTAGCTTGCCACTTGGACTTCACCCAGGCAAGAGAAGAGTAGACACTCGAAGGTAGACAGCCTTCCTTGAATTAAACACAGGCTCCGGGAGGTACCACTGAGTGACCCCAGGCAAGTCATTTAATCTCCTCATCTGTAAAATGGGTATGTTACAGGCCCCAGAGACTTGTCATGAACGTTAAACAGGGTAACGTGCGTATGGTTCCCAGCACGGTGTCAGACACATCAATGATTAGTACGCGTTAGCACGTTACTGGTACTGAAGGGAATGGTTTAGTGTTGACTCAAGTTAAGATGGACACAGAGAACCTGAAGAGAAGCCAAAGGAAGAAAGGCTAGCCCAAGTGTGGGAAGAAAGTACTATGGAGGGAGGAACTGGAAGGCAGACTAGAAGAACAAAAGCTATTCAGATCTTCAGCTGTGCTGAGAACTGAATAAAAAAAAAAAACTTCAACTGGGGTGCCTGGGTGGCTCAGTCCGTTAAGCATCCGATTCTTGATCTCAGCTCAGGTCTTGATCTCACAGTTGTGAGTTCAAGCCCTGGCTTTGGGCTCAGCACTGGGCTCTGCCTGCTTTAAAAAAAAAAAACAAAAAAAAAAACCTCCAACTATTGCATAAGGGATTTGGGTTATACTTATGGAAGAGATTTCCTGGCAGTGGAAGGTATCAAATGTTACTAGATAAAGAGATTTTTTTTTGTCTGCTGGGATTGTTTGGTCAGCTGTTCCTGGGGCCAGAGAGGTGGATGAGATACCACGGATCCAACCTCATGAGTCCTCAATTCCGAGAATTGAAAGCAGCAAATGTGAGATCCAGCTGCCCCTAAAAGCTGTTTCTGGCAGAGGTTCTTAGATACATCCGATGCATTGAACTCTCTTCTCCTAACCCACAGTACTTGACGGAGGGGGGCAACTCAGGTTGTCAGCAGTCTTGACCTTTCCTCTCACAGGAGTTGACCAAAACATTTTTTCATTGGCCCTTTAAAGCCAAGGTGGCCGAGGCAGTATCATCTCTTGAGGTGTCCCCCCTGGCCAGATTCCCCTAGAAACCCACGAGCCTGTTCTTGAACCACAGCCTGGGAGAGCAGGAAAGGATGGACTGTCCTTGGGCTAAAGGTCAGAGGGGCCCATGTGGGAAACTCTTCCTGAATCCACCGACATGAGCTTTGGCATCTGGGTTCTGAGTTTGGTCAGGTATTCGATCTGACCCCAGCCCTGAAGAACAGGGAGAATAAGAGAAGCATCGTCTGAATCCCCACCTCAATGAGGGTGGGTGAGATCCTATGACACCCTAGGAGACAGTCATCCTCTACCATTTAGGGTCCTATAGAGTAATCACCTTTGTCTTGGAGACTCTTCCTGAGTCTGCTTCTCCAGGAAAAGAAATTAGCCATCTTCCCTTGGGAGCAGTGGCCCCAAAGCCCCCAGCTGGCTTATCCTTCATAAATTATCATTTATCCTATCATAAATTGGCACCTGCTGCAGCTGACCAGTTTTTCATAACCTCTTCTTTGGGTCCAGCCTTCTAACCCTTCATGATACCATGTGTCACCCTGACTCCTCTTCAAGCCTTCCATGGCCTTAAGGATCCAGTTGAGATGCCTTTGGAGCCTCTTCATTCCCAGCTCAGCTTCTCTTCCACGTTGGGCTTGAGTTTATATAATGGCCGCTGAGGAGGGATGGCCTCTTAGCTAAGACAATGGGAACAATGTTTAAGGAAAACATAGTGGAAGAGGTTCATCAGGGCAGCTCGCTAAGACAAAAATGTCTTTCTCCCTCACCTCTTTTGCCCTTGGATTTCAGTTTTCTTTGGTTTGAGTAAGAAAGATACTCCCAGAGCTGGCTGTCAGAAGCAGGGACAGATGGGTTATCCATCTTTAAAGAGGCGATACAGTATAGTGTCAGAGCACACACTTTGGTGCCAAATGGTCCAGAATCCAAAACACAACTGACTTGTGACCTTGCCAAGTCTGTGGACTCCATTGAGCCTCAGTTCCCTCTGGTGCAAATGGAGGTGGTCCCCCCCCCCCACCCAGGTTTGTTGTGAGGATGAACATGACTATGACTATGACGTCTAGAGAGAGCTGTTAGCCCGGGCTTGGCCCGTCATGGATGCTCACCAAATGGTGGCCCTGATTATTGCCTCTGACTTTTAGAATGTTCTTCCCTATATTTTTTGAACCTTGGCTTGTTTCCCAGTAGCTTCTCCTCCTTTGGGCGAATTCTGTGGTTGCTAGCCCACATCCTACAAACGGGAGTATTGCTATAACCTTTTTATAGTCACAGCTCCCAGCATTCTCAAGGTCCCCACAGCGAGACTGTTCATTTCTCCTCCGTCCCATACTTACTGCTTTGCTGGCCAAGTGTGCTTGTGGTGCTGCGTGCTATGGTGTGAATTAAATGTCCACAGGGTCTCGGGCTGGTTTCTGCAGATTTTGTCCCTGCGTGGAAGGAGTATGCCAACTGAGCTGGCTCTCCCACATAGTCCGGGGGTTCCCCGCACTCAACAGACTCACCAACCTCACACCAGAGCCACCTGCCCTGAAAGCTCCTTCTCCTCATAGTTCCCTTGACCTTGTGTTGTCTTGACTGTTTGGGTGATTCCACGATAATGGGTGGGAGGAAGCTGCCGCTTTGTATCAGGCGTCCTTGGGACTGAGAGCTGGCTGTCACAAGAGTTACAGACGGTAACCAATTAACCCCATAATGGATTAACCCGTTCAGTAGCCACTGTTGTGTATGTGTGTGCCGGTGGGACAAATGAGGACCTCTGCAGAAAGAGAGATAACACACGGGGTAAACTCTTGCCTTCTTGTCTGTTCCCTTCTCCCCTTGAATCCATCCATCCCACAAACACCGACTGAACGCTCGCTGTGTGCTACATGTTGTGCCAGCCGCCTAACTAACTCTCATCATTTCTTCCCCTGACAAAAGCATGAGATAGACACCAGCTCTAGGAAATGCACTCCCCGATGGCTAATGGAGAGAAGCTGAGTGCCTCTAAGACGGGGGCCCTGCTGACCCAGCCGGGCACCAGCCTGTCCAACAAGCTCCTTTAGGAGACACCGGTGTCACGGAGCCAGGGTTCCCCCGCCACTCTGTCCTCGCTGCCAGCACCCGTTCACAGCCCCCCCCCCCCCCCCCCGCCGCCGGGAAGACGCCCTTGTTCCCCTTCCAGGCATCTCTGAGGGCGCCCGGCCCCTGGCAGCTCTGCCTGCCTTCTTCCTCTCACCTCTCCAGCTGAGTCTAAGACCCCTACACCTCTGGGCAGGGGTGCCTCCTCCAGCTTCCCTTTGCTTTGGGGCTCCCGGTGGGAAAACCCTTGCTCTTCTCCCTTCCATCTTACTGGGCGCAGAGCTCCCGGGGAGAGGTGAGGCGCAGGTAAGGTGGGGTCCGCTGTGCTGGGGGTGTGCCCAGACTTGCATGACCCCGTCCACAGCCAAAACGGCCATCCTGGCCGTGTCGATCTCCGCGAGCCACCGGGCCTTCCAAACCCACGTGCACGTCACTGATGGCTGCTCCCGCCTAGTTGAATTGTAGATCACCTCCTCCGTCTTGGCTGCCACTCCCCACTCCCCCTCCCCCAGTCTCTCACATCCAATTAACACCCTCCTCCCAGCCCCCTTCCAGAGTCATTAGCAAAGAAGCAGAATGGTCTTGGCCCCAGAGTGATTTCCTGTCATCTCTGCTCATTCATTCTCTCCATGTCTTTGCTAAGCCATTAATAATGCTTCCTGCATCTCTGACTGTTCATCTGGGTCTCTGTGGCTTCATCCCAGCTCCTTGTCTCCAGGGTCGCAAAGAGCAGGTTGTCTGTCCTGTGGCCCAATACAGGTCTTCTCGTTCATCCGCTGCTGCTGCTGAGACGGCCTCCCGGTGGTGGCCACCGCATTGGCCTCTGGGGTCCCAACACAAGATGCTCCAGGAATAAACTGCTCACTGCCCGGGCAGCCCCCTCCTCCTTTCCCGGGAAGGAGGGGTTTTCCTAACAAGGGAGGAAGCCGGGCTCCTCTCGCCAGAGCCTTTCAGAACTTAGATGTGCTCACACACATGTGCCAGTGGGGCCGAGGAGCCCCGCGCTTCCTAACACACCTCTCTTAATGATGCCCCGGCCCCTGGGTGGGGGGGGGGGGGGTTCAGCTGGGAGGGTCCGTCGCTTGATGCCTCTGAGGGTAAGGGAGTAAGCAGGGGGCGTGATGACACTTCTTTCTAGCCTGACTGCTTTGGCCTAGCTGGGTCCACCCTCTGGGCAGGAGGCTCATGAGAGCTCCTTCTATCCTGTTTCAGCCCGAGGAGTTGCAGAAAGGACCCCCAGCTTCATGTACCCCCAGGGCACGGCGAGCAGTCAGATGGTACTGCGTGGCATGGACCTCGTGCTGGAGTGCATCGCCTCCGGGGTGTATGTACAGCTCGCACCCCCACCTCTGGCCACCCTCCGGGAGGACGCGGGTGGGGGTTTGTGCACGCTCTGTTCTTGCCACGGTTTGGGGGGCAAAACATCGTCCTCTCCATCCCGTTCTGGCTGTTTCCTTCATGGGTAATGGGGAAGGGAGATGGGTAGGCATCCTGGACGTGTGTTAGAACCTCACGTGACTTTACGTTAAGTCCCTCAGTGCTCTGCGGCCGAGCGTCCCCTCTGTATGGGAGAGGTCGGCTCTCATAGGGCACGCGTCCTTCTGGGCCCAAGTCCACTTTAAGGTCACCTGGGTGTCCCAGACTCTGTAGAAGAACAACAGGGCCGCAGCTGGTGATGAGTCCGTGTTTCCCGCTTGGTCCCTCTCCCAGCCCAACACCAGATATCGCGTGGTACAAGAAAGGTGGGGACCTCCCATCAGACAAGGCCAAGTTTGAGAACTTTAACAAGGCTCTGCGCATCACCAACGTCTCCGAGGAGGACTCTGGAGAGTATTTCTGCCTGGCCTCCAACAAGATGGGCAGCATCCGGCACACGATCTCGGTGAGAGTAAAGGGTACGTTGTGTGTATTTCTCATTATGCTGATTTTGCCAGCCCTACATGCCACGACCACCCTTCCCTCTGGGGGGCGGGCCGGGTGAGCAGGGGAGACCCAGCAACACTCTGGTTCGTGGTAAGTGACCTGCCAGGGATGGTGTCACCCCGTGGATGTGAGAGAGAGAGAGAGAGAGAGAGAGAGAGAGAGAGAGAGTGTGTGTGTGTGTGTGTGTGTGCACGGTGGGTACTAAGGGAAAGAGACCCACCCTGACCATCACCCACCTCTCTGTTGTGCCCAGGGCTCCCTCCACAAGAATGTACCTCCATGGTCCATGTGGATTTCACCCAGAGCCTTGTCTTTATTTACTTTTGCATTTTAATTCATGGCGTGTTGTTTTGGCCCTGTGCTGTCTGTGTACTTGTGTGTGGTTCTTTTTACAAATGGGGAATTATCACGACCCAAATTGTTTTTTTAAAAAAAAATCACTTCCCTCTCCCCTGAGCGCGGATGGCCCCCATGAGCTATCGCGGGCAGTGAAGCACGTGCCTTTCTGGGTCCCCGCCACAGGTGGGTAGGGTGCACCAGTTGCCTCTCAGCCCGGGGCCGAAAGGACGGTGGGGACGGTGAGGTCTGATGCCAATAGTACAAGAACTTCCGTAGCATGCGGTCAGCTGATCTTGTGACTTTGGTCTCAGCACGACACTCGGACCGAGGGTTCTTGACCTTGTTGGGGGCATCAAGATCTTTGACAATCCGATGCAAAGGAACTTCTCAGAAAAAAGTCCACATGTCCACAATTAGAAGGGCTAGCCAGCTCTTCCCTAACCAGAGCCCAGTGTCTAAAAGAATAAATACGAAGTCTTTTCTAAATGGTCAGATCTTGCAGCGATAGCCACAGAAACCCAGAGGGGCCAGCCCCGTGCGCACTTGACCACCTTCCCTGGCTCGAGCCCTTGGGTGCACATCATGAACACCTGTGGGGCTCTAAAAGCATTTGCTGCCCAAGCCTCCTCCCCTGAGGATTCTGACTTAATAGGTCTCCGACAGGCCCCAGTGTCCGTGTTTGTTAAAAGCTCTTCAGAGGATTCTGACGAGCGGCCCCAGTTTAGAACTATTGTTCTGCGAACTCAAAATAGACCGGGTGGCATCTGTGGCTCCAAGCCAGCCAAAGGCAGGCTGGACTGAGTCATCCCATGAGGATGAGCCCTGGGCAGGTGGTGAGGGCCTGGAGCTGGCACCCAGGGGCTCCTGCCTTCCTAGAGGGAGCCGGTCTGGTGTCTTTGGCCTGCCCCATGCCGTCTAACCCCCCTGCCTGCACTGTGTTTGTCTTCCAGCTGCTCCCTACTGGCTGGACGAACCCAAGAACCTTATCCTGGCTCCTGGCGAGGACGGGAGACTGGTGTGTCGAGCCAATGGGAACCCCAAGCCCACCGTCCAGTGGATGGTAAACGGGGAACCTTTGCAATGTAAGTAACGAGCCGTGGTCTCACCCGACTCCGCTGTCTCTCCTGTCTCTGCTGAGGCTCCAGATCCCCATCCCTCTGGGCCAGCCCCAGTGGTCCCAGAAGTGAAGTCAAAGAACAGCCCCTTGGCTGCTGCTTCTGGAGCGTCCCATCCCTGTGGACATCTCAAGAGACAGGAAACCTGCCTCACCTTTGTGCGAGAGGACAGGACACCTGTCGGTAGTTCCCCAGACCCCGCTCTCTGCTGAGGGCGAAATGAGAAGCAGGTTGGATGTGAGGAAGAACCTCCCCATGACAGCAGAGACGCGCCAGCACAGTTAATGAGTATGCCCAGATTTGGGGAAATTGCATCCTGCCCGATGGCTGGAGTAGGTGATTCCAGGGCCCCTTCCAGCTGGGGCTGTTGGTCGAGTTTTCCCGTCAGATTCTCGCCAGTTGCGTTCACGTTAGAAAATGTCCTTGCGGATCTCCGTGAGAGTGCAGCATGCCCGCACCGTCCGGTGCTGAGCACATACCTTCCCCCTCCCCCACCCGTCAGTGTCCTTCCACTGGGCACAAGCAGAGACACGGACGCCGCCTGCCCTCTGCTGTTGTGTCCTGACAGCACTTTGGGAACAGGGCGGACAAAGGCACCAGACTTCACAGCACCATTAAATAAATGCAGAGCCCAGGACTTGCAACTGAGCCTTGGCCCTGGAAAGGTCACCGGTCACTTAAGGGGAGTGACTGAGAGGAAAGTGGGCTCCATGAGAATTGCCAGGGAAGGAGGCATTGAAGTTGCTGGCGTGGACTTCTTTGTGCCTTTTTGCTGAGTGGGGACTTGGGGACGGGTGATAAGGATGCTGACCGTGTCTTCATTTACCTCCTGCTGATTCCCCAGTTCCGGGCTGACACTTGCTATCTGTGGAGTGGCGCCTGAGGGGCCAGACCTGGGGTGGCCCTCGGCCCACTGCTGCTGTGGGTCTGAGCGATGCTGGATGGGTTCACAGACCATCCAAGCCAAGGCACCCGGGCCAGCCCAGGAATCTTAGAGCAGAAAGTCACCTTCTAGCGAAAGATGGGAAGTGGAAATTCTTTACACTTCTAGAAAACTATTCATACAGCTCATTATCGTTCTCTTTTTTTAAATTTTTTTAATGTTTTTAATGTTTTTTAATGTATTTTTGAGACAGAGAGACTGAGCATGAACAGGGGAGGGACAGAGAGAGAGTGAGACACGGAATCTGAAGCAGGCTCCAGTCTCTGAGCTGTCAGCACAGAGCCTGATGTGGGCGCGAACTCACAGACCGCGAGATCGTGACCTGAGCTGAAGTCGGATGCTTAACCGACTGAGCCACCTAGGCGCCCCCCCCCTTTTTTTAAATGTTTATTATCATTCTCTTAATCTCCTCAGAGTAGGATGGGAGTAATTCTCCCCCGTTTGACAGAGAAGGGAAACGAGGCCCAGAAAGATTTATTGGTTTGTCCCAGTCCCAGACTGACACGTGAGCAGGACTGAGACCCCACAGCCACTCCTCAGCCCCTGCCGTCTGCATCACAAGCCAGCCGTACTAGAAGAACCGTGGGAGCAAATGTTCTCTCTCGGTTTAGGATACGTTTCTCGCGAAGATCAGGAAGCTTTGGCAAACCTAGGGACTCATTCCGTTTCAACAGGCATTGGCTTATGGGTTTAACTCTGAATGTTTGAGGAATGCTCTGCTCAGAGGATGGGAAGGTGGTAGGTCCCATCCGGTTGTACTTTCCTTTGTCCTTTTCAAAACACTTGGGTGTGCACACATTGGATTAAAATAATAACGACCATCATAATCTGCGTGTGCCAGGCCTCTGCTGATGAGTTTATGCATGCATAACATCTCAGGTCACCCTCCTGAGAGCCCCGCAGGGTGACATATCATCCCCATCCCGCACACAAGGATGCTGGAGCTTACAGCAACTGAATAAAGCGGGCCGGTGATGCGGTTAGAATTCAAACCCCTTTCTGTTGCCGCGGCTTATGCTGTCAACCACGTCTGCCCAGCTGCTGAATAGGAGGAGCAGGGATTCACAGTCCCATGGGACAGACTGAGGGACAAACCCCAGTAGGTTTGATGATGGGCCCAAAGTCACACAGCTAGGCAGCAGCCGAGCCGGAAGCCGGGACTTCTGGTGCTTCTTCCACAGCACCCCGGTCATCCTAGGGGGCCCTGGCCAGAGCCCCAAGTGCCCTCCACCCTGCCCCTCCTGTTGCTCACGTGGACCGTCTTTCCTATCTGAAGCGGCACCACCCAACCCAAACCGCGAGGTGGCCGGGGACACCATCATCTTCCGGGACACCCAGATCAGCAGCAGGGCTGTGTACCAGTGCAACACGTCCAACGAGCATGGCTACCTGCTGGCCAACGCCTTCGTCAGTGTGCTGGGTGGGTGCACCCCTCCGCTCGCCCTCAGTGCAGCCTCCCTGGGTGTTCTTCTCCAGAGGTCAGCCAGGCTGGGTGGGGCAAGAGAGTGGCGGGATGGGGGAAGCATGGACACTGAAGATGAATTTTCTGGGGAGGATGAGGGACTTCGGACCCAGGGATCTGGATGTGTGGACAATTAGTTCCCTGTTAGAAGTCGATTTGGGGCCCTTTCCCCCTCCAGATGACGGGGAGGGACCTGTCTCACCCCTTCCACTATCCAGGCCAGTTCTGCCTGCGTTCTCAGTGTCCTGGGGGTAGGAAATGGTTCTGAATCCGTTGGTGTCCCTCCCAGAGCAGGGAGAGGGCAGAGGCGACCGGGAGATGCTTTGGGGTTGTGGAGAGGGAGTTATAGAACCTGCTGGATAATTTGGGGAGGCCCTTTGCAAAAGCTGGACTAGATGTAGTGTAGGCTGAGGGTAGATGGGTGACCCTCCTCCTTCCTCACCCAACCCTGAGAGGCTTCTAAAAGGAGGAGGTTTGACAGGGGAAGGGATGTTGGGGATTGGAGAGCTGCTATGCCACCGAGGCACCTAGAAGAACTGGGGGGCTGGTAGCTGGAAAAGCTGACGCCCCCAGCCAAGACCCGTTCTCCGGGACTTGCAGACGTGCCCCCTCGGATGCTGTCACCCCGGAACCAGCTCATTAGGGTGATCCTGTACAACCGGACGCGGCTGGACTGCCCGTTCTTTGGGTCTCCCATCCCCACACTCCGATGGTAAGTTCTAGGAGACCAGGCATCCCCCCTGGGGTCCTGTCTTATGGTGCCCGTTCCCATCAGGTCCACATTAGGTATTCAGTGAGACCTGGGAACCTTAAAGGGTGGAAGCCAGGGGGAAGTTGGCAGATCACTGAGGTCAGCCCCCTCGTTTATTTTTTAAAAAAAAATTTTTTTTCAACGTTTATTTATTCTTGGGACAGAGAGAGACAGAGCATGAACGGGGGAGGGGCAGAGAGAGAGGGAGACACAGCATCGGAAACAGGCTCCAGGCTCTGAGCCATCAGCCCAGAGCCCGACGCGGGGCTCGAACTCACGGACCGCGAGATCGTGACCTGGCTGAAGTCGGACGCTTAACCGACTGCGCCACCCAGGCGCCCCTCGTTTTATTTTTTATTTAGTTAGTTTTAGAGACAGAGAGAGAGAGAGAGAGAGAGAGTGAGAGTGGGGGAGGAGCAAAGGGAGAGAGAAAGAAAATCCCAAGCAGGCTCTGCTGATAGCACAGAGCCCGATGCAAGGCTCAAACTCATGAACCATGAGATCATGACCTGAGCCGAAATCAAGAGTCCGACACTTGGGGCGCCTGGGTGGCTCAGTCGGTTAGGCGTCCGACTTCGGCTCAGATCATGATTTTTATGATCCGTGAGTTCAAGCCCCGCATCGGGCTCTGTGCTGACAGCTCAGAGCCTGGAGCCTGCTTCCGATTCTGTGTCTCCCTCTCTCTCTGCCCCTCTCCCACTCATGCTCTGTCTCTGTCTCTCAAAAATAAATAAACGTTAAAAAAAATAAAAGTTGGACACTTAAGCGACTGAGCCACCCAGGTGCCCTCCTTTATTGTGCAGAGAAGAAAACCGAGGGCTAGAGACTTGCCAGGGTCGCCCAGTGGTTGGAGGTGGACCCTGCAGGGGCTCAGGCTCCAGGCTGCCCGCACAGCCTCTCGAGACGTTGCCACCCCACTCCCTTGGGCCAGTCCTCTCAGTATGCTTCGTGTTGTGCTGCTCTGTTGTGAGGTTTAAGAACGGGCAAGGCAGCAACCTGGATGGTGGCAACTACCATGTCTATGAGAACGGCAGCCTGGAAATCAAGATGATCCGCAAAGAGGACCAAGGCATCTACACCTGCGTCGCCACCAACATCCTGGGCAAAGCTGAAAACCAGGTCCGCCTGGAGGTCAAAGGTAAAGGAGAGGGTTGGTAGGCGGAGGGCGGCGTGGGGGCAGGCGAGGAAGCCATCGTCACAAAGCAATTCCCGTGCGCTGTTCCCTTTGAAAATGCACCCATCCCTGATGGGACCCTCCCTGTGCGTCTGTGTGTCCTCGAGGGTTTCCAGCTGGCCTGGGTGCTGGGAACACCGAGCCATTCTCAGCCTGGTCCATGTGGAATTAAAGAGGGAAGCCCGAGACCCCACCAACACCCCACTACACCCCAGAAAGTGCATCATCTATTCCCAAGCCAGATAGAAAGGACTTGGGGATTGTTTACTACTTGGAATCACTCATTCACATAACTGAATGTGACCTTCTTCCACCTTCCGTGGTCGGTCTAACCTTGAGGTCACGCGCGTCACACGGTGAGGCCACGTGGGGTGGTGGGCAGAGGCCACGCCAGTGACGACCTCCCTCGGCTTCTCCACAGACCCCACCAGGATCTACCGGATGCCCGAGGACCAGGTCGCCAAAAGGGGCACCACGGTGCAGCTGGAGTGTCGGGTGAAGCACGACCCCTCTCTGAAGCTCACGGTCTCCTGGCTGAAGGATGACGAGCCCCTTTACATCGGAAACAGGTTTCCGCTCCTTCCCTCTCTCTCCCTGCCACGAGTCTGGGACCGTTTCCTTCCCCCTTGCCCTTGGCGACGCACTGAGGAACCCAGGGACAGGGAACCTGTGTCGTGCGTGCAGAGGGGCGTGGCAGCATTAGTGACTCCCCAACCCCGGGTCCCTCTCTCCCTCTCCCCCCAGCTCTCTGCCTGTCCCCTCCTCTTCCTTCTCCCTCTCCTCCTTTTCCCACTCCTTTCTCTCTTCCCTCCTCTCTTCCACTCTCTCCTCCCCCCTTTTCCTCCTCCCTATGCTCTCCTCCTCCCTGCAAGTCTCGGCAAGGCTGGCGGCAGCGTCCTCAGACCTGCTTGCAGTGCCCCTGTTCTCCAGCAGAGGGCAGGGCAAGCCCGAGTCGCCGGCCACCAGAGTGCCCGTGGGGCGTCCGAGCCCGTAGGCAACTTGGACTCTTACCAGACCACCCCAGCCTCTCGCGTCCAGATTTCAGTGATGTAGGGGGAGGGGAAGCATTGAAAGTGTCTAAAAGTCCCCACGGGGGTCTCTAATGTGCAGTCCATGTTGGGAATGGCTGGTCCAAGCCTTCCTCCACGGGGCTCTTTGTTGTACCCTCTAACATCCCCAGGGGTGTTTGTGCAGAGCCCTGAGGTCGCGCATGGGGAACAGCGGTTTCCGCGATCATCTTGCTTCTCCAGGGGTGTACCCTGCAGACAGGCGCAGGCATCCGTGCACTCAGTGGATACTCAGAGCTCCACCAGCCCGCCCTGCTCCGTGGTGCCCACCTCCCTCAGCAGGAGAGAGCTCAGAGGAGCCCAGGGCGCCTGGCCTGAGCCTGGGTGCGAGACTGGCCTGGGCTGAAGTGAGAGCCAGAAGTAGGGGAAGAGGAGGGATACCAGCCCGCCTGTTGAGGCGTGGACCTAACTGTGTCCTAATTTGGGAGGGGAGCGCAGCACAGGAAAGACACAGACGTTATGGCCACTGGGGCATTCGAGCGCAAGGAACGTGGGTCAGGGCTTCCGCTTCACCCACTTCCCCGTCCCCCTCCGTCAGGCACCTAAGGGCGCCAGGTGACAGTGAGGACCGTGCCTCTCTCGCAGCATTGAGAGGGGGGCCTCCTGTCGCCTGGGAGGGGCTGTGACTGCCCAGGCCGGCCTGTGACGCTCCCCTCTCTGACTTGCCACCCCCCGCTCCAGGGAGAAAGCAGACAGTGCCCGGGGCTCCCCCCCAGCCCCCCACTGTCTGCCCGCTCGCCCTCCTCCCGACCCCTCCCTGGTGCCCTTGCAGGATGAAGAAGGAGGACGACTCCCTGACCATCTTTGGTGTGGCTGAGCGAGACCAGGGGAGTTACACATGCGTTGCCAGCACTGAGCTGGACCAAGACTTGGCCAAGGCCTACCTTACTGTGCTAGGTAACTGCCACCGCTCACACGCGCTCTGACCTCCCCCCGCCACCCCTTCCCGAGGCCAGAGAAGCCGTGGGCCTTGGACGGCTCCCAGGGCCCTGCCTGTGGTCAGCGGGCTGGTCAGGCACGGTGGTCTCCTGCCATTTGATCTGAGGGTTAGGAAGCTGCTCCTTTCAGAACGTGCTGGGCTGGACACCGTACCTCCCGAGTGGAACCATTAACTCGCCCAAATCCTCAGCTGAAGGGTTCCTGAGCGAGAGAGGGAAGGTGGACAGGGGGTTCTTCTCGTGATCATTTTTACCAACTTCACAGCTGCCTCTCTACCGCTACGCCAGTGAAAACAGTCCACCGTCGAAGCGAGACTGAATTTTGACTTTATTCTGGGAACACCCTCTGCCAGCCTCCCTCCCCCTCCCACCTCCGGTTTCTTGAGGGGATTTCACAGGACGCGGTGCACTTAGCAAAATGATTCCATCACGTCCTGCCCTGTGTCCGGGCCAGACTGTGAATACTAAGCCATCCTAACCCCAGAGGAAGGTAGCCTTTCCCATCCAGGGAGGCACATCCCCTGGTGTCGCCTCGTCACCTCTGTCCTCTTTCTGGGCGTCCCTTTGCCCCTGCTGTTGGTCCACCCTGTCTCTTCTGCGGTGGTGGTACACAGCTGCCGGGGACGGTGGTTCTATGCACACGGTGGCACTGGGATGGGAAGGAGACGAGTCCCCCTGCCCCCACGCCAGCCGTGGAGGAAACAAGACGACCTCTATAAGACATGGGGGGGGGGGTGTCTCCGTGGAAGGGCAGGTGAAGCTGTGCCTTGAACACCTCAGCCCGGGGCAGCTGTTCAAGCCTCGGCCGCCTATTCCCATCCTTCTGGAACACCTGTAACCCTGGATAACCTGCTAACCTGGATAACCCGTCTTACCTTTGCAGCTGATCAGGCCACTCCAACTAACCGTTTGGCTGCCCTGCCCAAAGGTAATTCGTACTAATCACGGGACCCTCGCCAGAACCTTCCCTAGGTAGCGGGGAGGGTGGAGCCCGAGGAGGAAGGTGCTACAGGACAGGCTGTGCGGTGCGTAGGCAAGTGGGTAACGCTCCCCACTCCCCAGGGTCCCGCCCGCACCTCCCAGCCCCGCCGCAGCCCTACTCCGGGCTTCCCGCGCTTTTCGCAGGCGAGGCTGCTGTTCCACCCCATCCCCTACTCGTGGCCACGCTCACCGCTTCCTGGTGGTGGCCCGTTCTGTCCCCACAGCTTTGGCCGCAGAAGCGTGTAGGCTGCTGTCGGGAAGGCCCACCCACTTCAAGTTCTCCATAGGCCCATCTCGTTCGCGGCCTCTCCACATCGGCTGCTATGTACCTGTTCACACCCTGCATTTACACGTGTGCACACAAACACGAACGTGGGCTCGGGTGACTCACCTGCCGGATCCTCCCAGCAACCAGCCAAAATCTAGAAATAACTGGGTCGAGGAGCCAGGGTGGGGAAACGGCACGCGTACCACACCGGTCAGGGGTGAGGTAGCTTTACCCCCGGGCCAGGATGGCCCTCACACCCACTGACGAAATCCGGTGAGACTGGAGCCCCCAAGGGTGCCTCCCCCACCCCTGTTTGGATGTTTGCGGGGCGCTTCTGTCCTGCTGTCCACCACTGAAACTTCTAGACCAAGTCCCTGTCTCCTCCCTGGCCCGGTCCTCTGCCTTTGTCCCTCCCCTGCGCCTAACCGGTCTGCCTCACTCAGCACTCCAGACACCCTCCCAGACCCCTGCCCCCTCAAAGCCTTGGCAGAGTAGAAGGTAATTATCCAGAGAAAAGGAGACAAAACCCCACACTTCCTCGCCAGCTTTCCGAAGGGTCACAAGCATGGGTCTCGTGAAAAGGGCAGCATTTCCCAAACACTTGCACCCAAGAGTATCCGCAGAAATGGGCTAGGTCGGTCCCAGTTCTCTCTGTGCCCTACGTCCTTTGATGCTTTTGGGGTGGGGGTGGAATTTGGAGTCTCCTCTTTGTTCTACCTCGGCCCCCTGAGGGAACGGGGCAGGCCAGGGTTGATTCCTGCCGGCGGTGACCACAGCCCATCAGGGACCCGTCATAGGACAGTGTCCAGGGCCGGGGCCGGCCCAAGGACGGGATGCCTCTAACTGGGGAGTCCTGCGTGCTGTGTTCTTCCTCTCCTGCCAGGTCGGCCGGACCGACCCCGGGACCTGGAGCTCACCGACCTGGCCGAGAGGAGCGTGAGGCTGACGTGGATCCCAGGGGACGATAACAACAGCCCCATCACAGGTCAGCCAGGGGCCCCGCGCTCCGATCCAGAAGCGAGGGAGGGATGGCGGCCTGGTCTCTGGTAGCAGCCGGAGGCTTTGACCGGGTCTCTGGTCCTGCTTGTGTCCCACTTGACACGTGCCCTGGGCTGTTCCCAGAGCACACGGAGGCCTCGGTTCCCCTTTCGCTGTCTTGGGAGGAGTCTGCGCGTGCCTTTGCCCACCCAAGGGAGATGATAAAGACTAGCGGGAGCCACGAGGGAGTACTTGGCAGAAGAACTCTGCTAGCTCAGCTCCCAAACAGCACCGTCTTCCTTGTCCCCTCAGACTACGTCGTCCAGTTCGAAGAGGACCAGTTCCAGCCGGGGGTCTGGCATGACCATTCCAAGTTCCCGGGCAGCGTCAACTCCGCCGTCCTCCAGCTGTCCCCATACGTCAACTACCAGTTCCGGGTCATTGCCATCAACGAGGTGGGCAGCAGCCACCCCAGCCTCCCCTCCGAGCGCTACCGAACCAGCGGGGCGCGTGAGTACCCGAGGGCGGACGGACCAGGCGCTGAAACCAGGTGCCCTGAGGTCAGAACGGAGTTCCCCCAGTTTCTGGCCGCAGGAACGAACGTGGGCGGGTTATGTGACGTCTCCGAGGTTCGACCTCTTCATCGGGGGAGTAGCGGCACCTCCTCCCTCACGGGGCTTTCGTTTGAAAATGCGGTTTGGGTACTTCCCGTGATGCCTGGCATCTAGTGAACACACAGCAAATGTTGGCTGTGGTGTCTTATTATTACTAACATCCTTAATAATTCTTGGTGATCTGCCTTAAAGGGAAGTGCAAGGGCAGAGATTTGCAGTAGAAATACGTAATCCGGTGTTATGTCAGATTTCTTTTCCTATCCCACTTGGGGTCGTGTTTAGATTTCTGAAAACACACCAGCTCATTGAGCATGGGGCTGCTCCCCCAAAATGTTAAATGCCGGGGATAAACCAGTCTGGTATTAAATTTAGTAGATAATCCACGAAGGGGATAATCCACATTGAGTTAGCTGTCTGGACCATCCAAAGTATGGAAAGCCTTACGATAAATGCCATCTGGCAAGGGATTAAAATGCAAAAGAAATTAGCGCTGCTTGTAGGGGCAGGGGGTTAAGTCTTAGCTAGGAAGGCACGTCATACACATGAGAAAACAGCAGAGCGAGTTCAGTTGCCTGTGGGATAGAGCGTGGAGAGATGCTGAGAAAAGACAGAACACAGAAGGGACGGGTCGGGTGGGAGGGAGAGAGTTTGGTGGCTCACTGTGCTCTGGTGAAGCGAATTGGACTTGAACTTTGCATCCATTTGGGTTCCAGCCCCTGAGTCCAATCCCGCCGACGTGAAGGGAGAAGGGACCAGAAAGAACAACATGGAGATCACGTGGACGGTAAGGGTCCCTCCCAGCCCCCCGTCTTGATTTGAGCACCTGGAAGCCCTTGCTCTCGACACCCCTGAGAACCCAAGACCACTCTCTGCACCGGACATCCAGAAAGCAAACAGGAGCACGTCTAAAAGCAAGATTTAAGACAGGAGGAAGGAGCAGGGGTGACCAAGGAACATAGACAGCTCGTCTGGCAAAATCAGAGAGAGTACCAGCAGACATAAAATGGACTACTCTCTAGAAGAAGGAGGGGTTTCGGTTGGATTCTAGAAAAGATTTAGCCTAAACGTGTATACCTAGCTTTGGCGTGTTCTGGGGCCCTCCCACTGGAGCTGGTTGGGGGTAGAAGGAAGACCAGTATCCGAGGTTCTTTCAGGGCAGGCTTCCTTTTGGTCCAGGAATGAACTAGATGAAATAAAAGCTTCCCTCCAGGCCAGGGTTGAAAAAAATCCCATCTTCATTTTGGCTCACCGACTATATTTTCCAAACCAAAATTGGGATACGTGGTCCCCAAATGACTTTTGCTGCAAACCACTTCCAAGTCTGCGAGGTGCACGTTCAGCCATTGAAATATTGACATTTCTGTGCTGCCACCATGAGTAACAGAAGCAGGGAGATACAGTGTTGGGGATGATGGCCATCCCCATCGTTCTGAGGGCTCGGCCTCACGGCAGCCCTGGCAGCTGGGCTGAGCCCAGATTCAAGACACTGGGCTCATCTTCAGGACCTTGCAAGGACTGGCTCTTGGTCTACAGCTCTGTAGTGTGGGCTCCCAGGGGACCGATTCCTAGACCATGCCCTCAGGGAACAGAGAAGAGTGTTGCACCCACCGTTAGCTGCTGGGAATGACAGGATAGTCACACATGGATTTGGTAGAACCCAAGTCAGTTCTGGAATTTTGAGTTCAGTGGCAGCAGGCATGCTGTGGCTAAACCACAACTCATCCCTCTCCGACTTTAGAGAGTATCATGTTGTTTCCTTGTTTTGTTCTTACCGATCCGTCACAGGAGAGTCCTGTTGAAACTACAACGTTGGCTCCCTGTGCACATGCAGATGCGGGTGGCTCTGGGGGTCAGAGTGACTAGGTCTTGGGCGAAGCCTGTCACAGAAAATCTACATGCAGCTGAATTCATGGGACTCTGGCTTTCGGGGACTCAGTGTGGGGGTGGCACACCCTCCCAGGGCTGCGAGGGAGCCAGTGCTGTGCAGATGGGGGCAGCGTGCCTGGCACAGAAGGAGAGCGCAGGCTGTGGGCGGGTCTGGGCTCCACCCTCGCCTTCAATTTCTCCCCACTCAGCCCATGAATGCCACCTCTGCCTTTGGCCCCAATCTGCGCTACATCGTCAAGTGGCGGCGGAGAGAAACCCGAGAGACGTGGAACAACGTCACAGTGTGGGGCTCCCGCTACGTGGTGGGGCAGACGCCTGTCTACGTACCCTATGAGATCCGGGTCCAGGCTGAAAATGACTTTGGGAAGGGCCCTGAGCCAGACACTGTCATCGGCTACTCCGGGGAAGATTGTGAGTACCCTCCCTCATGCGCTAGCAAGGACCCTCCCAGCCTGGCTGCGCAAGGCCAGCCTCACAGACCAGGAACCTCAGGGTGGGTCATAGGGCCTTCCGAGAACATCCTGGGAGGACAGTCGGTTCCCCGGAAAGAGAAATCCCCTATGGTGAAGTCGGGCAACAGGCCCCTTGTAAATGTCAGGAGCAGAAATGTCATCACACAAATGCTAGTTAGAATTCTTGAACATCATCACGTGGTCCAGTGCTCCCATTTTATGGATGTGAACCCTGAGGCCTTGCGAGGCAACAACCTTGCCATTATTACACAATAGCAGATGTCAAGCTGGAAAATAGAAGCCGGGCCTTCGAGTCTACCTTACTGCCAAGCCTTGCTAGTGCCAAGACTTCGGGACTCTCCCTCCCAAAGAGCCATAATTAGACTCCTCCGCAGGAAGCAGGGCCCCAGGCCAGACTCCTTCTTGGCTCCCCCGGGGAGACCTCAAGAAATGTAGACGGTCTCCAGAGGCTTAGTCTGGAATGATCCACACCAGCCACCTGCTGGCATCCCCAGTGTTGCTCTTAACCTTCGGAATTGGCTTACAAAGAGAAGTTCTTTGGAGGCTAGCCTCAGTGAACCAACAAGTTTCTGGGCATGTACGTGGAAGTATATGCCTGGCTTTTAAGACAGCAGTGGCCTCCTTGTCCACAGCACGTCAATTCAGTAGGCTGCTGAGCAAAGCAGGGGGGTTGGTGGCGCCCCTCCCAGTCAGGGCGATCCACGCCCTCGTGGGTCTGCGTCTGATCCCAGAAAAGACCACGTAGGTGGACGGGGTGACCAGAAGGAAGGGAAGAGGAGAGTCTTGGGGAGTTGCAAGGGCCAATACTGGGGTCAAGAGTCGAGCCAGTGTTGTGTGTCACAGTCAGATGGGAAGAAGGGAGGGTTGGGCCCCGGGCCCCACTTTCCTGGACCCACTTGGGAATGAGTGGAGGGTATCAGCAGGCTCTCTGTCCATCCTGCTCCTCGTCTTTGTGGTGGCAGACACTTCCAGACAGGACACTGGCAGGAACTACTGGCTGCTGAGTATGGACTAAGCAGGGTCTAGTCGTGAACTTCATGGACCTGCCCACAGTTTCCATTGCACCTGCCCACCCCCGAGGTCTGGAGGAGGTGCAGGGTGGGGGGGGGGGGGTGGGGCAGAACAGCTTTGGCAGCAAAGTGCAGAAAATGGAGGCAAGAATCAGTCATGAGGGAGGGGTGGGTCTTCTTCTTCAGGTAGTCAAGGGTCAGAATCCTGTCCTGAACTAGGTTAGGGCATCTTCATCTATGGGTGATGTCTCCTGCAGGGTGCTGGTAGGAAACAAATGTCACTCAAAGGGGACTGTCTCTAATGTGAGGACAGGGTTCAGGAACCATGCTGCCGCTGGGCTAGCAACAGCGGAATCCCAGTATAACACTCTGAGCCTTGAAGGGTCAGGGGACAGGTGAGTCCCCACAACCAGGACTGCCCTTGGATAGAAAAGTACACCACCGTCAACCTGAGCCCCGCAGAGAGGCAGGCAGGGGACTAGGTACCCACCCTCCCTCTCCTCCTGCCCTGGGGTCTCCTATTGAGCTCTCCTATTGAACAAACCCTTCCAGAAGCCTGGGAACAAGGGGACCAGCTGACACGGTCCGGAGAGGGTAGCCTGCTGGGACACAGAGCAGGGTGGGGAAGGGTAGCACATGGGATGAAGGGGCAAATGGGGGCTCCCAGCATCTGAGAGTAGCAAATAATTGCCTTCGAAACATGTAAGTAGACCCCTCCCACCAAGATGGCCACCCTTTTGCCCTGGCCTTTCCCCCACTCCCGCAAGTGCAGCCTCATGGAGCAGTGATAGCCCCTGCCCTCATGGACTACCCAGTGTCTAGAGTGGGGTGGAGGCACAGGCCGGCAGAGAACAAGTCCCTAGACCCTAGAGTCCAGGGGCCAGCCCCGCTTGTATAACCAGTTCTCTGTCCCAACACATTGCAGATCCCAGGGCTGCGCCCACTGACGTTAAAATCCGAGTCCTGAACAGCACAGCCATCAGCCTTCAGTGGAACCGCGTCTATCCCGACACGGTGCAGGGCCAACTCAGAGAGTACCGAGTGAGGAAACCCGCTCTCAGCCCCGCCTAACCACCCAGCTTGCTAACCAGGGCAAGGGGGTAGCAGACGCGGGCCATAAGATCCTTGGAAGGGGTCCTAGGGATAGTTTTTAGATCCAGAGTTGATTCACGAAGATGATGTCTAGTGTTAGCGGTTCAAAAATACACCCAGGAAAAAATTACCAGGTGTGGCCTGCAAGAAATGTGCTGACGGTTCTGCTCGGCAGAAAATCACGGGAAGGGTGGTGGGTCGGGGTTGGCCCTGCGTAGCACGTTACGCTTCTCGTACATGTGTGAGCAGGCACACGTGTATCTTAGGAGCAGTGTTGAGGCACCCCTGAGCTACACTCCTCCCCTCTCCGAATGGCCCCCGCTGGGCTGCTTGCCTCACCCGTCTGCTTTCATGAAACCCCAGCTAACAGGGAGAGCCACCAAAGACCTCGGGATTATCCAGCGTATGGATTATGAAGGCCCTCGGCTTCTCCTGGTCTCCCTGCCTGTGAGCAATTTCTGCTCACTGGTCTCTCCTCTTAGAAAGGGTAGGCCGAGGTGCGGGAACGGGAGAGAAGACCCAGGCTCTGCCAGTCTCTCCCTTACTTTATTTAAAAGTTGCCCAGGAAGTGAAGGAGGCTGTAGGCATGGGACAGTTCACGTTCTGTGACTTAGAGGTCATTGAGAGTTGGCTGATGGACAGCTGGGGGCAGAATGGAGGGAACCAGTCTCTTTTGCGGACATGAATTTGGTAGGTAGGGGAAAGAGGCAAGAGGATATATACACTCGAATGAGCTCTTCCCCAGCATTTGACTTGCACTCTTTACCTACCTGCCTGGAGGCTTTCTTGGCTAAGCTCCCATTGGGCCCCCTTCTTAAGTGTGGATTTCCTCCTTCCTTTGCCATTGGAGGCCCAGGTGACGCTGGTGTGGCAGCCTGACCTGGGCCTTCTTACCTACTGCTAACTGTTCCTTGTGTCCCAAACTCTTCTCGACTCTACTTATAACACTTACCACCTTCTGAAGGCCATCCCGTCCAAGCTCTTAACAGCCTGGCGTCCCCTGACTTGGACATGTGTCTATCCCATTCTAAAGGTCTTCAAACAATATTAAAAGAAAACGTTTGACTTCAAAGGATTAAATCAGCTCTCGTATTCAGACTTCTGGGGGTAACCTGTTACTTGTCAACTTCCGCTTCCTGCCGATCTAAACCATACTAATCCAACTCAAGGTGATGTGGTCTTTGAGCACAGAAGAGAGCTTTCCATGCCGGGACCCTGGGCTCATATTTGTGGTTCCGGCATGGATTCCCTGAGCAACTTGTTCCCAGCTTGGAAATAAGTCTCATGATGGACCATCGCCATCAGTAACTTTGGCCAACCTGCCTAACCCAGAGAGGCGATGTGGCTCAGAAAACGATTGAACCCGAAACACCCATTTCTTGTTTCGCATCAACTCTTACTCGCTAGTGGCTGATGAACAGGGCTTCTAAGGCCGCTCCCCCAGCCCTAGGGGGACTGATGAGGGCATTCGGGATTCGGAGCCCGTGGCAAGCAAAGGGAAGACCGGTCACTACCATCGGCACTAACAACTAACCCGCTCCACCTGACCGTCCCCTCACCGGCCTGCCTCTGTCCCGAAGGCCTACTACTGGAGGGAGAGCAGCTTGTTGAAGAACCTGTGGGTGTCTCAGAAGAGGCAGCAAGCCAGCTTCCCCGGTGACCGCCCCCGTGGCGTGGTGTCCCGCCTCTTCCCCTACAGTAACTACAAGCTGGAGATGGTTGTGGTCAATGGGAGAGGCGATGGGCCTCGCAGTGAAACCAAGGAGTTCACCACCCCGGAAGGAGGTAGGTGTGACCCACAGCTCTTCGGGGTGGGGCAGGACCAGGGTAGCACGTCCAGGCGGGCCTGGAGCAGCCCCCAAGTGACTTGGCCGGACATTACAAGGCGAACTCTGCACGACCCCGAGAAGCTGATGTCCCGCGAGCCGAGCGGCTCCTGCCATTCCCACAGCACGCCAGCACCTCCAGGGTGGCCTGCCCTGACAGGACATCGTGTCTCAAGAGAAGACCTGTGCCGTCTGCTGCTGACCGCATTCCAGACAGGCTGGCAGACTGACCCCCGCAAAGGTGCTGGGGGAGCCTGGGCTACCCCCACCTCCAGAGGCCGAAGCACAGTCACCCTGACCGCCGGAAGCACCCAGGACCTTCAGAGCTCTCTCGGCACTGTAAATCCAGAAGCTTCCATGGGGATAGCTGGTCTGTGTGCACAGTGGCCCCGCAGGGGGCGCCCTGATGCTGGTTCACGATCCGCCTGCTCCTAGGAGGCAGATGCCTGCGAAGCTTATCCGCTGGGCATTTGCTTTGCCCTCTTCCATTTCTCCCCCTCCCTTTTAACTGCTTTCCCCCCATTTTTCTTCTCTTCCTCCTTCTTCATTCTTCTCTCTTGTTTTCTTTATTCCTATCTGTCCCAGCCCCTCATTTTCTCTTCATCTTCGGCCTCTCCCCGTCCCTCCCGCTCCTGGTGCCCTGTCCGTGGATCCCATCTTGGGTTTCTTTCTCCTCACCCCTGCACCCCGCATTCCCGGCTTGGAGCCTGGCTGCTGCTGGCACCCAGCGGTGAGCATCCTTGTCTGAAGCCTAGGAACCACAGCCTCTGTGCCAAACAGCTGTGGTCGGTCCCCTGCCAGCTGGAAGGTGTCTTTGCAGGAGCAGAGCCTAACGTGTGCCGTATCCACAGTAGTTGTTAAAGGAAAACTCGACTGACCTCTTCCCCATTTAAACTGAGTCTGAGCCATGCTTGTCCTAAACTGGGGGAAGCAGCATCCTGGATGGGGCGGGGGGGCTTTGGCCCCCTTGTGGTTCCGATGGGTTCCGGCGTGACAGTTATCCTGCCTGGGGGTTGCCCAGAGGTCAACACCTTCATGCTTGTGCTTTGTTTTTGTGTGCTTCCTCATCCTGCCTCCCCCCTCCCCCTCATCTCCCCTGCCCTCTCCTCCTTCCCCAAGTACCCAGTGCCCCCAGGCGTTTCCGAGTCCGGCAGCCCAACCTGGAGACAATCAACCTGGAATGGGATCATCCAGAACACCCCAATGGGATCCTGATCGGATATACTCTCAAATACGTGGCCTGTACGTTCCGCCCTTTTTTTCTCTTAATCTGGGAATCGGAAACCCCATTCTCACCAACTCTCGAAGGAATCGAGGCAGGAAGCCTATGGGTGCAAAGGGCACTGCAGAGGGATAGAGGCACCTGGGAGAAGTTCCCCATGCGATTAGGAGAGGCAGGCGAGACCGAGGGAGCTCCTGGTCTAATGAGGGGTGCAAGTCGGCCCCTCAGGGATCTTAGGGTCTCCGACACCCAGCAGTAAGTCTAGGAGAGACAGTTTTGACCTCCTCCGATGGGGCAGACTACATGCAAGGGAATCCACACGACCCTTGGGGACACCAAACAAGGTGTCATTTATGTTAAGGCAGCTGTATATAGAGCGACTCCGTCAAGAGCCCGAGTAGGGAAGACCTGACCTTAAGAGCTCAGTGTCACCATGCAAGGACAGGGGTGTCATTACATTTGAAAAGCTGTAAGCCTTCTAAAGTAGGTGATGTTGTACCGCATCGGGAAGCTCAGAGGGCCAGGTGTGGCGCGGTTGACGATTTTAATAGCCAACTGTGTGCTTCTGTGCGGTTCTGAATCCATCTCTGGACCTGACCGTCCCCCTTTGAGGTATAGTGAATAGGCCTTTTACAGAGGAGGCATTAATGATCAAAAGCTCTAGTGGTTGTGCCCTAGTTCTGTTTGAAAGGAAGAAAGGAACTCAAGTTTTGTCCTTGTTGAAAAGGCCTGGGGATTATAAACTAAATCTTTCAGCATCAGCCACATAACTTTGCAGTGAGCTGGAGATAATGAGATCAGTGAAAAAGCATTAACCCTGGTGTGTCATCGGAGGGAGAGACGGAGGGGTCTCGCCCAGCGCTCTGCCCTTAAACCCAAATCCCCTACCCCCCAGGTCATTAAGGTTTCGGGGCAGGTCCCACACGTGCCCTCTCCAGCAGAGTCGGGAAGGCTTTCTCCTCCCAGCTGCAGATTGTACAACCCACCACGGTCAATGTTGCTGAAGTTCAATTCCACTTACCTATCTCTCCCCAGTTAACGGAACCAAATTAGGAAAGCAGATAGTGGAAAACTTCTCTCCCAATCAGACCAAGTTCACGATGCAAAGAGCAGACCCCGTGTCGCGCTACCGCTTTACCCTCAGTGCCAGGACGCAGGTGGGCTCTGGGGAGGCAGCCACAGAGGAGTCACCAGCACCCCCGAACGAAGGTAGGTGCATTACGGTGGCCTTGGGGATGAAAGGTCCCAGCTAATTCAGATGCCTAGAGAAACACCCTGACCTGATGGCCTCCTGGGATGGAAAGAAAACAGGGCAGCGGGTCCTCCAGCCCCCAGTAGGATACAAGAGAGCCCGTCTCATATACTGAGAGGTAGGTGCTGGCGAGGTATCTGGAAAATTCACATCTTCTTAGGTGGTTGCAGTCAGACCTGATCCCAACTCTGTCTTGATTTTCTCAGCTACTTAACATCTATCACCTTGCCTTCTCTGGGGGAATAAGGAAGAGGGCCTGCTTGCAGCCTGAGCCGAGTGAGTTGTCAGGTCGTGGGGAGGGGGTGGGGGGCGTTGGGAGACAGCCACTGGCCAAGCCAGCTTCTTGAGGCGCAAACGCTCTCAGCTCCTGGCTCCTGGCGTCTTCCAGCAGCAGAGTGCGCCTGCCTAAGACGTCCACTAGAGGGGGCTCCGGGCCCACCTGTGCCTGTGCCGGCTCCCGGAACCTCAGGGATGCCAGGCTGCAGAAACCTTGATGTGGCAGACCCTCTCCAGAAGGAGGGGATCCCCTGCCTCTCCAGAGGCACAGTGGGGTATTCAACAGCCATTTCCTGAGCACACGAGGTGCGAGACACTGTGCCAAAAACTACCGCCTAGGAGGGGAGACAGCCACAAGGATATCTGATCGCTGTTCAACATGAGCAATGTTACGTTCAGATGAGGAAAGTCGGTGGCTGTGCAGAGGAGGGGTGAGTCCTGCAAGGCAACACTTCACAGGAGAGGCAGTGAAGCAGACAACAGGTTACCCTGTCTAGTGCTTACCCCAGCAGGCTGAGGTCCGACGGCCTGCCCCTGGCCCGGATGGGACCTCCTGAGTACCCTCTCCCACCCCAGCAGAGCCTCTGCTTCCGTCGCTGGCCCAGGCCTGCTGCCTTGCCCTGGGACCTCACTTTAGCTTCCCAGCAGCCCTGTATTCCTCCCCAGCCCCGCCCCCAGGGCCAGCAGGCCAGTGCTGAGGCAGGCGGGAGAGGGGACAGACAAGCTGGAGAAAGGCTGACAATCCTTCCTGTGTCCCTCTGTGGTCTTGTAAACCAGGAGTGAGCCACCCTATAAGTCCCCCTCCTCGTGTGCTCGTCAAACCCTCTGGGCACTCAGGCAGTTTATTCGGGCTGGGGGACTTTGGGCAAGTGGCTGATGTAGTCTTCTTCGCAAAGGCCTGGCCAGACGGGAGAGTGCACTTTCCTGATTGCTTAATTCTATAACGAGAGACATAAAGAGAGCCTCTTGTAACCTCCCCTCTTGTAACCTCCCCGTTTCCAGCCCAATGCAGAGCATCAGATAAACAAAGCCCCATTGTCCAGCCCTAGCTACCACCACAGGAGAAGTTCTGCAGCCCCAGGGGCAAGAGGACAAAGAGAGACTTTCTTCTCAATTTAGGCATTTGCAGTAAATTCAGGAATTCCTTTTAGAGCTCTCAATCCACAGTCGGGTTTCTTATTTCATAAAATACAGCTGTTGGGAAAAAACTAGGATAGCACACCCTCAGGACAGGAGCCGGGCCTGAGGGCCACAATCTGTGACGGTTCCCCGGCCTTCCAAGGCTGAGACGGTGTGGGGGAGGGTTCGCGAAATAGGCTCGCCCCTCCTCCATCCGCCCCAACACTATACACCATCATCCCCCAAAGATCTACAGGAACCATCCTTTCTACGGGGGTTGGTGGCCTGCTGTGCCACCTACACCTTATGCCCTCAATTCTTGGCATCGTGGAAGGGCCACCCAGCCTGCCTCATAAAGATCAGCCGAGCCAGGGAAGGATGCACCCTGGAGGAAAGAGCTGGGAACAAACCACTCTAGACTGTCCCTGCGGCCACCTCCTAGATGATAGTCTTGGAGTGGAGGTGGAATCAGAGTGTATTAGAAAGGTCTCCCAGATCCCGGTGGAAATTTTCTGTAGGGACATACCAGGCCCCAGGGAAGTTGAACATGAGCCCTGGACACCAGTTGGCATCCTCGGGGCAGTAGCCAGCACCTGGCCACACTGTCTGGGTCAGGTTTGAGCCAGACGCTCCTCTGCTTGCTTGTCCCGTGGTTTCACCTGTGCTCTGTTTTGTCTTCCCTCTCTCATCCTTTCTCCCTCTCTCTGGCCATCTTGGGCGCTGTGTTCTGAAGCTACTCCAACCGCAGGTACCGTACCAGCAGCAGAGGTAATGGGCATGGCATGGGACGGTGCAGGCGGAGCCCAGCCCAGCCAGGGTGGAGAAGGAGGGAGAGGCTCGGGATGAAGGCATGCTCCACGCTCACCCTTTCAGTGGTTGGGAAGCCAGACCGGCAAGGAGGATGTGTGGGGGGGAGGGGTCGGAGGAGGTCAAACACCCCCTCTTCCCTTCACTTACTCTTGGCCTCCTGGGATGGCTCAGGAAGGGCCCCCCACGCACACACAGGCTCCAGACCCAGTCTCTGCACCTGCAGGTCTCGTAGAAGCTGAGTGATTACTTCCCCTGACCCACCTGGGCCCTCGCCTAGGCTTGACATCTCAGAACGCAGAGAGAGGGTCCACAGCCCTTGGGTGGCCAGCTGTGGCCCTCGAAGGAATGCTGCACCATGAATGAGAGCAGCTGGCCCCAGTCTGCTGGTCAGGCTGCCATCCCCTGAAAGGGTGACCTACGGGTGAGCACGCTGTGCATGCCGACCACGCATGCTGCATGGGGGCCCGGCACCAGCCCTGCCATCTACCATGGGTTCTGGTCAGCGACGACGAGAGAGCTTGTCCTTGGATAGGGCCAGGTGCTCCAGGACCTGGCGTCTTAGCGGGCACCACGGGCTGGTTGTTTCCTCGCCCCTTAGAAACCCAGCTTCTCAGATTCTTCAGCATTAAGAACAGCCTCCACTCTCAGGGTCCGGGAGGGAAAGGCACAGCAGAAGGGAGGAGTGGGCACGCAGGTCCCGGCTCAGGAAAGACCTGCTAACCACATGGCTCCTCTCAAGCCCTCATGTTGTGGGTTTGAGGACACCAGAGGGCGCGTCACCACCACAGAAGGCCTGTCCTCTAGCTGGAGAAGCTAGGCAGGGGACCCCAGGGTTCCCTCCCCCCGCCCTCCTCAGAAGCTGAGGACAAGGCTCCCCCTGGCAGAGCAAAGGCTGTGGGGCAGGGGGTCACTAGAGCCTCCTTAAGCTCTTAAGGGGAGGATGGAGAAGCAGGTGAGGAATCTGGGGGTTGGCTTATGGAGGGTTACCTCGTTTGCTTGCCTCCCCCCTTGACTCACTTATCCCCCACCCCCGTTTTAGGTTGATTCTATTTCTGTTGCACACCCGCTTCCTTCCGTTTGTTTGTTTTGCCAGACCTGTGGGTGGTGTGCCGCCATCATCCCTCCCTCCCCCAGGCCCCTCCTCCCCCCTCCCCGTCGTCAGCCAAGCTGGTGGGTCCCAGGGCCTCCGCACAGGGTCAGAACTCCTCCTCTGGAATAGGAAGTCGAGAGAGGTCCTGGGCCCGGGGACCGTGGAGAAGGCCATCCTTGGACTCTGGGCATTGTCCTGACTTTCTGACTCAAGTTTGCACACGGGTCTCTTCTGGAACTATTCTAGCAGGTGCTCAGGGTGGCCTAGCAGGCTTAGCAAACATAGAAGGGGAGACTCGGGGCACCAAGAGAATTAGCTTGAAGCTCGTTGGTCAGAGCTCCC